TCTACTTCAGCATACTTTCAGCTAGCAAAACCATTCAGGTGTCAAAGTCTTCAGCATATTCAGGGCGATCTTTCAGCAATTCGCATCCACACACAAATTTTCGACAGGAAATGCAGTTTTCTAGTTTATTATTCTGGTTTCTTCCGTACGTTTTTTCGGCACTTAACTAGTTCAGCATACTTTCAGCTAGGAAAGCCATTCAGGTATCAAAATGTTCAACTCTTAAAGGACATTTATGCTTCTATTCAGAATTTTTCTAAACTTCATACATTTTAAACTATTCAGCTTTATTTTGAAAATCTTGCCCCATTCAAATGAATAGGGAAATGTTTACTTCTGCATATTTTCAGCTATTTAAATGCTCAGCTCTTCACGGACATTCATGCTTCTCTTCAGAACTTTTGTAAACTTCATACTTTTAAAACATTGAGCTTTATTTTGAAAATCTTGCCCCATTCAAATCAATGGGAAAGTTCTACTTTAGCATACTTTCAGCTAGCAAAACCATTCAGGCGTCAAAATGTTCAGCATTTTCAGGGCGATCTTTCAGCTTTCAGCATCCATACGCATTTTCTTCAGAAAATGCATTTCTCTAGTGAATGCTTCATATTCAAAAATTTCAATGCCACATTAAGCTTACTGCTCAGCTGAGCTATGCCTCAGCATAGCCCCTGTACCTGTATGAAGGATTCGGCTGAGCAGCAGGTTAACTGAGAGGAAGGGCTGATCCTGGCATGACTGCACCACAGAGCCAACCATGGAAGTCAAGATCTGTGCATTTTCCTCTGTTAGGTTGACTCCAGCCATGGAGGCTACATCGTTAATGTCATCATCTTCTCTGGAAGGCAAACAGAAACACACACACACACACACACACACACACATCTATAGCTTTGCTAGGCTTGCTCTGACCTCACACTTGAGTCTAAAGAAATCAGCTGTATTTATTACTTGTAAGATGCTGAACTGTCCTTGAATGCAGATATGGTAACTAGAGGTGGATCCTGCTTCATTGAAAAAGCGCCTATAAAAAGAGAAACATACAAAATTTACTGTATATAGACAATAACATCTAGCTTTATATGGATGTAGCTCAGTCTGTACAATGCATCGTGCTCAGTTTTTTAATTACACTGTTTAGGAAATTTAACAATTTGAATTTGTTGAAGCTGTGACTACAGGACACTGTAGAAAAATGCAATTCGCAAAACTAAGTTACATAGATGTGTGTATTGATGACACATGCAAGTTAATGGGGATGGTGCAGGGTATATAGAGTAAATGTGTTGAAGATTGTTCAGGCATATTCACATTTATTTTTAACTCAACAGTAGGAGTTGTGTGTAGCCTACTGGCTCTTTACATTAGTGTGGTATGTTTTATGGAAATATAAATTACTTTAAATAATAAACATTTTAATGTTTTTGTTACCACTGTAAGGACCTACCGTGCACTTTATAAACATCATATTCTTGAACCGATAATGTATTTTTTGTTTAATAATGTGTTTTCATGTTGTGGAAAATAGATTTCTGTACATTTGTTATACATCGGCTTAAACAAAGAAGTAACCAGCTGATTAATCGATTAAAATACCCCATGTATCAAATGTGCTACAAAAGAAATAGAAATTATCTAAATAATATGGCACCTCTATTCCTATATGCCTGGACTGTCTGTCTATGCATATGTGGCAAATAAAAATCATGAATCTTGAATTTTGAATCATGAATTATATTTTGGATTTTGTTAAAAGGTTTAATAAACATCTCAGTTCCAAAAAATTTGAATGTTCTGGCTATTTTTGATGTGTCAGGTTTTACAGGGTTAAAATGTGAATTGTAGTCCTAATACTGACTGAGACTAACGTTAACAAAGCTGAACACTAAACTTTAGCATTAACAAAACTGACTGACCAACCCACGATGGAGCACTCTGCACAACTGCAGCCAACGCTGGTGAGACTGAGAGAACACCTCAAACTCACTGATACCACACAGGAGAGAGAACAGAGGAACGCTCTGCTCCCCCCAGTCAAACACATTAAAACTTTTAAATCAAGAAATTTCATACTCTCCCACTTTTTCTGTTCTTTTTCAAGACCAAACAGCTTAACTGATTACCATTATGTTGCATATTGCATTTCACTGAACTAAGGACATAGATTCACACTCAGTTGTTACAACTGTTACCTGTGAAGGGTTTTCCAGACTGGACCACTGTGTGTGTGGGTCTGCTGCTCCTAGATATGTCACTTCTGGACTGGCCTACTGCTCTTAAACCAGGTCTCAGAGTTCCACCCTGAGACTGGTGAATAACCTGCATTTTAAGGAAATTCATTAAGATTCATACTCACACACATCATCTACACATGCATCATTCACTTAAAAAATATAAGCCATTTTTTTCTTGGAAACAAATCAAATCAATTTTATTTATATAGCACTTTAAAAACATCTAGTTGACCAAAGTACTTACATAGGCAGAATAAAATAAATAGGTTCATTGCAAAAATAAAACACAATAACTCAGACACACAGATGACACACATTGAAACAAGTTGAAACTGATCACAGTAGCTGGTCTTGGGGGCAGTGGAACACAACACTGACACACCACTTTTCAATTTGTTAAATGAAACTTCTTAGCAAACATTTCCTTTTTGACACACCCAGCAGTTACAGAGCCACATGATCAAATTTGTGGGGAGGTGTTTATGTTCACGTGATACATTTAAATCTGATATTCTCTCTTTAAGCTCTGTTTTGGTCTCTACTTTGTCCAAAGGGAAATATCTGGTCTAGAGCTTTTTTTTCAGAAACCAGCTGCCTGTTGTGTCCCAAGGTGGGATGAGAGCACTAAGCGTGGACCTAAACACCTCACTAAACAAAGGAGCTGTAGGTTTATCACTAACAGAGACACTTTTCACATTGTCACATTGTTTCTGTGTTGTCATTTAATACATTGTAAAAAAAAAAATTATAGCCACTTTAAGATAATAATAGTGATAATAGTAAGGTCTAGACCTGAGATGACTTTTGTTGTGATTTGGCGCTATACAAATAAAATGTTCTCTATTGAATTTCTTTTTAGTTGCTTTGGTGCCTCCTCCAAAACAAACTCACCCCAGAAACTGCTCCTTACTGCCGTTTACCTCTCCCACTCCCAAACCTGTATTAGTGTTGGTGATAATATAGTTACAACAACACTGGAATTGTTAACAGTCTTCTTTTGTTAGCCAGTACTGGTAGAACAGTGGACCCGGCTCTCAGAGGTGACTGCCATTACAAACCAGTTGGGCCAGCTGCTGCTTAACCTGAGCAAATATGACATAGATGCTGTGTGTCAAGCCACAGATCTGCTCTTTGCTTGGGTGAGGACGGGGTTCAGGGATGCTTTGTGTCATCAGGAGACGTTAATATCTTTGTTAATAGACATTAACCTGGGTTGTTCACATAGGCTACTGAGGGGAGCAGCTCCAGATGGTGACATCAGAAGTGTCATAGGCTGTTGTGTAAGGAATGAAAAAGAAGTGCTAGACAGAGATGTGCAACTAGCCAGTCAAGGTGTGAAAGTCAGATCCTTGGCTTGGAAAATGACAAAAAAAGCTTCACAGCATCACCCGGCTGTTGCACACATACAGGCGGGGGCAAACATGTGCATTCTGAGTTTCTACTTTCTTTTTAGAATCTGTGGAAAATCTCCAGACTCCATTTGGGCCTGCTTACAACCTTCGCTGGGTGGTGATTTATCAAACAATGTGGAAAATCTTAGTTACTGTAGCTTTATGTATATAGAAACTCACTGACTGACCCCAGTTTGTGTTCCTACACATCACTGTGATTCCTGTTCTTCACATTCATTGATAACTATGTTTTCCTTAAATGTAAACTGCTCACTATATTAAGACAACCTGGCAACATTTCTTTACCTGCTGGCTGGTCTTGAGGCTGGGTCCTGTGTCACTGATGGACTGCGTAATGGTGGAAGATGGGGCACTGGAGGTGTAGCTGGCAGTTGAAGCCTGCTGAATAAATAACTGGGGGTCTGCAGTAAGGCGACGCACTGCAGGGAGACTTTTCTGAGGAGCAAAATACAATGTTATTATATTATCAGCTAAATTTTCCTTGCTTGTAATTTTTTATATGAACTACTTGGAGTTAAAAAGATAAATGGTGCAGCAGAACGTCATGGCTAAGCACAGTCCAGCTATGAGTAGCTATGCTCAGTAGAAGCATCATTTGGTGTGAGTTGTTGACTTTTTAGTCACCTTGAGAAAAAGCACCAGGCATGGCTGTGGAGTCGACTTCAGCTCACGATACAGCCGTTCTGTAAACTCCTCGGCTTCTAGCTTTCCTTCCTGCAGGGTACAGGCATGAACATACAGTAAAAGAGAAAGTAAAAATATTTTGTTACCTTGAACTTGTTAAAAACAAACACCACAATCTGGTAAGAAGCTGAAAATACCCGATAGACATTCAGCAATTACAAATGAGCAGCATAAAAGGACAACAGGGATTTACCTAAAGTTATGATTTAAAAAAAAAATTCTAGATCTGATATATGTAATATTGATTCTCCTCTTATCTGAGAGACAAGCAGAATAAAGGAATTGTAATCAGGTAAAAACAATCAGACAATGCACTGCTTTCTGGACCCTTTTCTTGTGTTTAGGCTTTAAAAGATATCATTCTTCTACCGCTCCAATAAGTGACAAGCTCCTGGCGAACAGGGCGGAGACATACCAGCAGACTCCTGATCAGTCCCCTGACATTGTTAGCCATATTGGCAGACTTGGAGTCACTGGAGGCCAGCTTGATCAGAGTCACCAGGAAGTTCTTGCACTTTTTCACATTCTCCAGGGTCTCCTGTTGGTGAAATGTCAGTTAACCGACTTTGATAAACATCAACTGTTCTTATCTCTCATGTTGCCCAACTGATGCATCACTGTTTATGCAGCAACTATCTGAGCTGTTGTCTGTGCATGTTTATCTTCACTCACAAACGAGTGAAAATAAACCTAAGAGCTAATTCGTACATAAACGAATGACTTTGTAACCTCACAATAGTCACTGCCTAAAGAGCTCCCGAATTAGTTGCAGCAAAGTGATGTTATCATGACTACATGTCAGACTACTACTACTACTTTTGTTTTCTGAGAAAAGAAAGTAGGACTAAAAAAGTGTACTCAGTACTTTGAGGGTAACCAGCAGCGACAACAACAAGTACATCTCAACCCAAGAATTCTACAAACTATGGTTTGAACAGTAAGCTGGGTTCCTGGGGTTGGAATCGGTTTATGATTTGAACTACAAATTGCATCAAATCTAAGGCACATTAATTTCATCTCTTCCTTCCAACAAAGCTGAACTAGGAAGAGAGTTTGTTCATTTTAGCTCATTTAACACTCTAACTCACAACATTACACAAATGTATATGGTGGTTTGGAGAAATATTTCAGTAGTTGTGAAAGCAGGTACCAGTAATAACACAAATGAAGACTTGCTGTCATACTATTGTTTTTTGTGTAATGACAACACCAAAATCGAAGATTCAAAAGGCACAGGGGTTGACAGGCTTTCTCCATGTCCTGTGCTGCAGTTTCAGACTGAACTGTTTTTCTTAGCAAAGTGAAATCCAAACTGCGGATGCAGATCAGAGGTGGGACTGGTTAGACCCACCTGACTGAAAGTGACCGATGGCTCCTTTTTAGTTTCTGTGACAAGTGCCTGAGTGCGCGGCTGGCTCCCCCTCTCAGACTCAGCACCTAGGGTCTGGACCACAGCTGGTTTGGGAGTTACACCAATCACCTGAACAGCACATCATATGCTAGAACCCAAAAACCAAAAGCAGGAGCAGATACAACTCACCAGCACTCCCATTGGGCAAGTGGTTATCCATAAAACTTCTACTTTCTGTAATTTCTGCATTCATAAAACTTCAGTGGACTCTGTCCTGCTGTTGTTACAGATATGTCTGAACTAACTACGACCACTCGACTGCACAACGTAGTGTTCATTAAAGCCAGCTAAAATACAGAAATATTAAATACTACTATTATAAACTACTGTCCTTATATAGTGAACCACGCAAAGCCTCTGTTCTGACAGCCGGCCTTTTAGCTGGGTTACAAATGTCATCAGGAATTTGGATGACATTTTCTTACTTCTGCAACATAATGTGGAATTTGTAGTTTTACTTCAGCTCTTTATACATCTGTGTGAATATCCACCTGTGTGATTCGCGTGCTATTTGTGCATAAATAGCAAGCAAGGTACGAGCTACCCCGTCATGTAGGGTATGTAGTTATCCAGTACAGTGGGGAATTGTGCAAGTAATCAAACAGTGCAGTGGGGTTGCAACAAAACCGTGCTGTTGCTGAATGCATTTTGGTGGTCTCTCACTAAAAATGTTCTTAATTACACAGCAGCTTTTCTGTCTTCATGTTTGACAGGTAAAGTACTATCACTATCACAGGTGAGGTTGGTTTGTAGTCACGATGCTCATGACTTGACCTGCTGTCAGTGGCTGTGAAGTATAAACTAGCTCTTGTACCTTAACCACAGGTGTCTTCTGGATTGGTGCAGGCTGGAAACTGGGAGGGACTGTCATCCTGATCAACGTCACCTTCTCATTACTTTTACTTCCAGCTGATGCAGACACCTGAATTCCAGACATGATGGCTAGGTAAGACCACAGCAATACCAATAAGATGTCCCAGCATCTTTAAGTGGAAGCAGCAGTGCACACACACCTGAGGGGTAAGAACTCTGGGCGCCTGGCCAATCACAACTCTTGGCCCCTGGTGAGCCTGTGCAAAGGCCTGCTGGGATACAAGTATCAGCTGTCCACTGTCACTGCGGATCAGCATCATACCTGCAACAGTTACAGCGCAAAGTCAATTACTACTGTAATTAAATGAAGATTTTCTCCTGGAATGAGACAGTGCTGGGTGAAGGACACATGGGTGTACATTGTGGACATATGGCAGGCATGGCAACAGTAACAACACTACATATACATCTCCTGATTGTAAACATTTTAATTCAAAATATAAATGGATGAATTATAGGGAGTGGTCGACCAATAAACAGTTATGGCCAAAAATATTGGCACTGCTGCATTTCTGGCAGATAACTTGTCACTTTTCCCAGGAAACTGTTGCAAGCACAGATTCTTTAGTATTCTCATGTTCATTTATTTTCTTTGCATTGGAACAACACAAAAAAGCCACATCTAATCCATTCCACACAGAACTCCAAAAAAGGAACTGGACAGAATTATGAAGCTCAAAATGTTCCAGCTTTTGGTGAAACTGTCATAAATGTATACATTTAATGATATTTATTACTGAGGTCATGAAACAGTGATTAGCGTTGCCGCCTCACAGCAAGAAGGTTCTGGGTTTGAGTCCTCCACAGATATTAAGGCAGATGTGTTGCACTGAAGTGCATACAACTGTACACATGTACCTAATTAAGTGGCCGGTGAGCATATATGTGTGTTTATACAGATCTAGAAATCAGACTACAAACTGTGGCTCACCTGCTGGTATCTGGATATTGGCTGGGAGCTGTGGGGAAGTGGTCTGTGGCAGATGAGGAGCCACAGTGACTGCCGGTGGAGCTAGTGTCCTGGGTACAGTTATCACCACTGTCCTTCCTGAGGTTGTGGCCTGGTTCATGGGAGCCACCTGGGTCAGAGCTGGTTTTGTTACCTGTAGTTGGCCATTAGCACTTGCTGCTCCTGGTGTGGCCACCTTTGCTATCACCATGACAGAGGGAGAGGAGGACTGAGGCCCTGGGCCTGCCACTGTAGAGGAAGGAGGCTGGTGGGCCTGGCCAACGGGGGCGACTTTAATTGGAGCACAGATGGAGTCGACCTTTGAGACAGCTGCAGCAGTGGGTGCTGGCTGCACAGCAGTGAAGGGTCCACATTTGGCTGTGATCTGTAACATCTTGACTTCAACAGAGGATCCTTCATCCCCTGATACCCCGCAGGACTCCAGCCTTTGGCCGTCATTATTTGTGGCCATAATTACTTCTGAATGGAAAACCAATGAAAATTTATGCATAATCCAAAAACACGAAATGCAAAAGCTATCCATCTGTTATGTTCGGGTAGGTTAACCTTAGCCGTGAGAGCTTCCCCACAGCACCAGTGTGACTGGTGTCTTTAGCTCAGCAGTCCCACTGAGGTCGGGCACTCTCCACAGACGTTTCGGCGTCTACTAGGACGTAACACACGTCCTACTTTAAAATTCTCCGCCAGCAGCTTTTTAATCACTGAACTTATATAAATACCGGTGAACCAATAAGGTTAGCTAGACAAGATAACAAGCGAAAAGATGTTTAATTTAAAAAGCATGGTTGTTTGTTGATTTAATGCTAGACTTGACTAGACACTAACTTGGACATGGCTTATTTAGCTACATTATCTGTCAAAGACAACATGAACATTAGCATTATTGCTAGCTTTGCGATTCGTTTCGCTGCCAGATTTTCAACTGTGTCCGGCGTTGTTTTATGCAAAGAGACCGGTTTTCTTAGTGAAATAATTGTTAGGGCTTGGTTCGATGAAATTGACCCACCTGTATCAGTCAAACCATCCGAATGCACTTTAGGAGTACAGGTGGAGAGGAGCTCACCTGTGGCAGGCGTAAAGGTGGCCGCGCGTGAGGGAAGCCGCCGCTGGTTTGTGCGGGTGGTCACGCCCCGTCGCGCTTCTGCTCCGGCCAACCCGGGCCTCCCTACGCGTGTTTTCCCCGCGGCTGCGTGAGTTTTCTCCGGCTTCCTCCCACAGCCCAAAGACATGCAAGTCAGGTTGGCTGTCATCTCTGTCCTGTGACTGTGTGCGGCCTCTCCAGAGTGTAACTCCTCTGGGGACAAAGAATCGTTATCGTATTGGTGAGTTGAACACGAGTTGGGAAACATCCTACATTTACATTTCCGAAGACGATTAAATCCATTAATGTAACAACACCAGTGGCTTCAGGTCAAACTGACTATATTCTCTGTATTTTTGTCTTCCCCAGCTACATACATGAGAGGGTCCGAATATTAGGAACATCTCTGAATATAATGTAGCCCAGTACATCACTATCTTTAACTCTGACCTCAGTAATAAACATATAATTGAATCTATACATTTATGACAATGTCACCAAAAGCTGGAACATTTTGAGCTTAGTAAACTGATGCTAAGGCTGAAGTGCGTACAACTCTACATGTGTACCCAATAAAGTGGCCGATGACTGTACAATATTGTGGCGACCCTGGCCCGCCGCCACGGTTCATATGAATTCTGTTGTACGCTAATTGGGTTCGGCACTGACGTTCGTGTGGTGGGTGTGTATTGGTTGCCGCTGTTTTCTGTCATGTGCCCGCGCTGCTCTGACCAAGGGAAGGATATAAGGGGGGGGGGCGGGGTGTCCTGTTGGGCGGAACGGGATGATGTTAGGAGAACTTGTGTTGTGATACCGTTTTCTTTTCACTCTCTGTGAGGACATGTTGCCATGTTACAACCTTTTCATTTGCTTCTGCAGTTCCTAAAAATAAAGCCGATAAATGACAGGACCTGCGTTCTCCTCCTTGATAGCTAGGTGCCGGCGCACAGCTGGCTAGTTAGCTGCACAAGTTTAGGACAGGGTTAGGCCAGCTCCTCTCATCCGAACCAGCGGAGCGCTACAATATATAAACATTTGATTAGGCTTTTAATGTTGCCTACATGGAATGTATAGCCAAATAAGGACAAGAAAGTCTAATGGAAGAAAGCTAAACTGTAGACACCGATGAGCTGACAAGTGGGGAGAATAGAATTGCTGTCACTTTGTTATGAATTCTTGAGTACAGTCAGTTGTTATACTTGAACTAGCACAGTCTTCATAGGTTGGCCTCTGTTTACTACAGTACAATGCATTAATTGTCACCAAAGTAAATTTAGTCAACTATACTTGACTATAGCCATCTCTTCAGTCGTGGTTATAATTATAAATCCATTCTACACAAACATCCCTCATGTCTTTTAATCTTCCTGTTATAATCTTAGAGCACAGGTCTCGTAGGCTACCTGCTCCAGGCACTTGGAATAGTTTGGAGAGAGACAAGACTGTTGTAAACTCTTTGGTAAATGATTCCTTTACTAATTGGCTTTCTTTGTAGACTACCTGATTTTATCTTTCTTCATAGTGACACTTGTTTTTGATTGGTCTGTTCATGATCTTTCATACTGTGTCACTTGGGTTTAAGTTTGTCTGGTAATGCTGCTGTCCTGCTCAGGTCTTCCCTGGGAAAAAGAGGTTTTCAAAATTACTGTGACATTAAGTTATATTGACACTTGACAATGAATGTAAAATGCTTCACATTAAAACTGTTTGTCTCACAAAGTTAGATATCTATGTAGCCTAATTATTTTATATTAGGGTACATGCATTTTTTTATTTGGTGAAATGAAATAAATTTTTTTTATTTATATTTCATTATACTGTAGCCTAATTTCTGCTGATTTATATCACCTGGCCATAGTGTACTACAGTATACAAGTAGGCTTCTAACACAACCAGGGCCCTTGTATACTGAAAAAATGGTATGACGTGTCAACAAAAGCCAAGGTATTATAACTGAAAACATGTTAATATCCATGAGAGCTACCTTACCAAAAACAGTAGTTTAACACATACACAGCATGGTGTATACAACAAGTTCAACATTTGAGGTTTAATTACTGTAACTGAAAATGAAATCCATATTCATGCCTTCTGCTTATGGCGGAAATTCAGAGCAGGGAGATATAGTATGTCACTGAGGAGGATTTTATTAGAGTTACTCTACACCACCTGCTGGAGCCAGATGTGTCACACAGGGAGGAAAAATAACTGGGAAATCAGTGGCCAATCATGTGTGATCAAAACCTGAGTTTTTTTTTTGTCAGGAGATGTTACCCATAGTGCTCTTGAACATTATGGAAGAAGAACTTTTGGAATTTATTATGTGCAACAGTAAAACACATCATCAACCTTTATAAAACTAGAACACTGTCTTGGCTTGCAACAAAAGCTCTTGACACAAAGTGTGGCTACTAGTTTAAAACGCCCCTGAGTGTTTGGCATGTCATCCTCATAAGGAGCCTGCCAGGGCTGATGCATGTTTCACAAGTTGTTTCATAAACCTTCTGAAACCTGGGGATAAAACCAGACGACCAAACCATGGGTTACTGTATCTGCTGTGACTCACTAGGCAAAGCAAGCAAAGACTAGGCATTCATCACAACAGAGCTCTACCAGCAGGACAGACCATAATGCTGTCTCTGTAAGGCCCATCCCAACTTTACATGTTTGTGATAAAATAAATTATTAAGAAAAGGGGGTGCAAAAGAAACTTGTCTTTTTTGTAAATAGTCAACTTTTACAGTGGTAAGAATCACTGTCATTCTGGAGATGACAGTGGCCATTATTATTATTTCTCATTAGTAGTGTGCAGGTTTGTGTGCCTGTTACTGGTTCTCTTCACTTTCTTGCCAACTGTTGACGTGGGCCTCTTCAGTCTATTGGATCTAATGTCAGCAGCCAAAGGTTGCAGTTTTACTGTAAGTGATGTCATCAAGGAGCAAAATAAATCAATATGGCAATTTTCATAAGTCAAATTAAACATTCTGTACATGCAGTACTGCCGGTGTACACATGCACGTTTTATATCTATATCACACAGTGATTCTTTGGACAGTGATCTGGTGAATTCACATACTGTGACTTTCTGCTGTGTAGAAATTTTATTTGGGAGAAAACAAAGCTGCTGCCATTTCATTCAGTGATTTGGAGTAAGAGTTCCGCTCCTCGTCCTCCTCTGTGTGCACCATTATGTGCAGTCTTTGTCTGCTGTAGTGTTAAAGGCCTCAGTGTGCTTCGAACAAAGTGCTGTCATGTGTACAACGCTTCTGGAGAGAGATCAGGGTCAAAGTCAAACCATTAAGCAGAACACTGAAATGAGCAATACAAATTCTTTATTACAGTGCCTCAGTATTCATGTTCAGCGACATTACAATAGATTTGACACCATAAGACAAGAAATATTATCTTAAGCATTCAGTACAAGCCATGAGTGAGCAGAGCCCCAGTCGCTCCCAAGGATGTCATCTGGTGATGGCACCTTCCAGATTTAAATATTAGAGCCTGCTTCACAAACTGGAGGATGTGAAAGAGGCTGGTATTTTGCAATTCAGGAGGTTTTAAGGAAACAACAGTTTATCCACCTGCTTCTTACTGACTGCTGGGATCGGACTACTTTCTGCCAAAGGTAGAACACTCACACTAGAAATATCTGCACAGCAGAAGTGGGTAGCTGAAAAAAAAGATGTCATCTACTTCCAAAAATCAGCAAAATCAGGATCGAACCAAATTTAAATCCAAAGCTGATGACAGTTGGTGGGTTGTTTTGGCATTTGCCAATCAAGTCACTCCCACACAGTTCTCATGAAAAAGGTTTTGAGTTTTTGACTGTAAAACTCAAAAATACTTCCAAGTTGTTTGAAACATCGCTGCCAATTTAATTGTGCATATATGATGTTATAGACAAAGTGGGTTTAAAGCCAAGTTTTCAGGGCTTCAATAAAAACAACCAGTCGCTTGTCAGTCCTCTAACTTTAGAGAAATGCAGCACTGAAATACCCTTTTGGCAATGTTACTTTGTCCATGCAAGTCCATGCAAGTCCACTGCAGACTAAACAACTGGCTTTAAACTGGGACACAGGTTCAGTGCTGGGACATTTGCTCATTTAACTACTGGCTTTACTGTTAAATCCTTATTTAACTGATGAGTCCATAATGTCTGCAAACCCTCCCTAAAGCCCTGCCTCCTGTGTTGGCTCTACCTCTGTCCTCCCAGCAGATGTAAGACCAACTCTTCATCTTCAGCCAGGGAGAGACCAGTGTCCAGAACTGTGTGCTCTTCATCCTGCTGCCTCGCTTTCTTCCTCTTCCCTGCTGTGCGCTGCTCCTCCTCCTCCTCATCACTGCTTTCACCGCCAGGCTTCCGTTTAGATGACCTTATTTGATCCTCCTCCTCCTCATCGGTGCACAGTCTGTCAGGGTCTGGCAGGGTGCAGGGGTCGAACTCGTCGTCACTGTGATTGGCCAGGTACACCACCACCTCATCCTCGCCCTCCTCGTCAGGTTTCTGTCCATGCTGCTTGCTGGCCTCCCTCCTGGCTGCCCTCTCCTTCAGCCTCTTCTCTCTGTGCTTGGCTTTCACTTTGCGGCTGTACTCCTCCTTGTCAAACTCCTGGTCCTCACGTTTAAGCCTCTCCCTGGCCTTCTCCATGTTGATACCTGAAGCCTCCTCCTCTTCCTCCGGTTCACCAGTCACTGCCTGTTGAACTGGCGGCCACAGCTGCACAGCCGCTCCTTCTTCATTGAAAATCACTTTGGTGTTAACTTGGAAGTTTCTCTTCCGGACCTTTTTGGCCTCTCTGAACCTCGTCTCTTTTTCCATTTTCTTTTTGGAGCCCTTGGCAGGTTCCTCCACAGGTTCCTCCACACTCTCCTGGCGTCCTATCAGATTGAAGACATCCTTTGTTTTGACTGTCAGCAGATCCAAGTCTTTTAGATCATCATCATCATCCTCGTTGTTTTCACCTGCACCCAGAAGCAATGTCCTGGACTGAGCCGCATCGTGTTCATCCCCACTCTCCTCACCCTCACCTGACTCTTCTGACTCTGAGCTCTGACCTTCCTCACGAGGAGAGTTTCCTCTCAGCTGGGCCTTAAAACTCTTCAGCTCTTCTTCTTCTTCAGACTGCTCCTCCTCCCTCTGCCTGCCTCTCCCAGCTCTCTGTGCCTGGGCTTTATTTAAGAAGCGCACCCTGGGAGCCACAGCAAGGCCCAGAGAGACAGCATACTCCTGAATCTGGAGTTTAAAGACATCAAACACCTCTTTGTTCTTCATCAAGTAGATGGAGCGCAGGTAGGAAACAAAACACCTTTGGGCTCTCGCCTTCTGCAACTTCTCCTGGGCCAGGAAGGCGTCTAGCTTCTGCTGGACACTCTGCAATTTGTCTGGATTCACCTGGAATCAGCCAAATGAATGGAATCAGTTAGGGCTGCAACTAATGACTAGTTTAATAATCAATGAATCTAATGTATAAAAACATAGAGAAATCTGCTTTCCACATAATAAAAACAAATACATTCATTCAATGTTTCTGTGGCTCACTATTAAACAAAAAAATAATTTGTTCAAGAATAGTTTTTATAAGTGCAGAACAGGTCCTTACAGTGTTAACAAAAGCACTAAAATGTTTTTGATTTTAAATACTTTATATGTTTAGAATGCATCCAGTACACATATGACTGCTACTGCTGATGGCTAAAAGTACATTTGAGTTTTGCTGCTGTAGTCAGAATGTAAATATAAATATCTGGAAATCACTCAGATTTAAGATATCTACACTAAAGTTTGGACTAGTGAAATCTTAATTTATAATACCCAAACAAATCTGAATTTTGATAGCTTTTAAATGTGACAAATTAAAGATATCTGTAACTGACATTTTGATTAGTCAAAATCATATTAAAGATATCTCTAATCCTCAGACAATTCTTTGCTCTTCCTTCTTTTCTCCATGTTCAGTGTGGTCCACACGACACAAAGGTTGAATCAGCTTTTCTCCATTTTAACTGGTTGCAAGTGTTTTCGATATTGCCAGCACCTGTTGGTTGCCACATGTAAAGATGTTGTGCTGTTGCTGTACACTGTCTATTTTTCATGTGTTTTTGTTTTTCAACAGACTACTGAACATGAACTGTATAGTGCAGTCCAATATAACACCACCACAAACCACAGCCTAAAAAGTGACCACAGAGCTGAATGGTATTGTGTGGGATCACATAACAGTGGCTTCTATTTGTCTGCTCAGGGTGTATATTGTAATACTGTGTATGTTTGAGGCCTCACCTGGATCTTATTGATGGGGACCTTTTTGTCCTGCAGCTGGCTGACCATGCCCTTCTCTTCTGTGGGAAGCAGCAGCAACAGGGCCTCTCCACCCTCCTTGTACCTGGCAGTGCGACCCACCCTGTGGATATAGGTGTCTGCATCCTCTGGACAGTCGAACTGCAGCACCCAGTTGACAGCAGGGAAGTCCAGGCCTCTGGCGGCGATGTCAGTGGCAAACAGCACAGCGTTCTGCTTTCTGAGGAAGTCATTGTAGACCTCTACCCTCTTCATCTGCTGCTGCTTGCCATGCAAAGCCAGGATAGGCATCCCGGGTCTGAGGCGGCAGAAGGCCCGGAATAGGTACTGCACCTCCTTGCAACATGCAAAAAAGACTATGACCTTCTTCTTCAGGTGGCTCCTGATGAAGGAGTAGAGCATGTTGACTTTCTGGTGGAGCTCACACACTATATAACTCTGCTCCAGGGTGGCCGGCGTGCTGAACTTGGCCTTCTCGTGGACCCACACATACTCTGGGTCTTTTAGGCTGAGCCGGGCCAGGTCTTTGACTGACTTGGTCTGAGTGGCAGAGAACAGCAACGTCTGTCTTGTCTTGGGAAGGTTCTCCACGATGGCGTTTAATGTATCTGCGAAGCCCATGTCCAGAATGCGGTCCGCCTCGTCCAGGACTAGCATGTGGAGGTTGGAGGCGTGGAAGGTGGCCGTCTCGTCCATGTGCTGGAGCAGCCGGCCGGGGGTACAGATGACGATGTTGGTACGGTGGATCCTCTCCGACTCGCTTTTCAGATCCTTCCCACCGATGATGAGCCCCGCAGAGATCTCATGGTTCTTTCCCACTTTGCGCAGAACTTCAAAGGTCTGGTAGGCGAGTTCTCTGGTGGGGGATATGATGAGTGCACCGAGACCGTCCATGGAGCTCCACTGTTGTCGATACAGACATTCCAGCACAGGTATGAGGAAAGCTAAAGTCTTCCCAGAGCCAGTTTTAGCCGCGCCAAGGACATCTTTACCTTGCAAAGCGAAGCCGATGGTCTGTTTCTGGATCTCTGTGGGCTGTCTGTACTGAGCCTCCTGCAAACCTAACAATGTCTTCTTTGAAATCGGAAAGTCTGAAAACTTCACAACCTCTGTGGTGTTGATGTCAGTGTACCTGCTGACAAGCCCGTCTATGTATTCCCGTTCGACCTGCCACTCGGGCTTCTTCTGTGCTCTCTCTCGCTTTACTCGTGCTTTGGTCTTGTTGTATCTTTTCTTCCATTTCTCGAAGTTTTTGACAGGGTCGACACCATCCTTCATTTTCGTGGGCTTTTGCTTCTTCCCAACGCAGGCTGAGCTCTTATTCTCCATAATTTATGACAAACAAGGCACGCAAGTACAGTTAAAATCACATAAACCACTCCTCTTGGTAAACAGCGTGGAAAAGACGGCTTTCTGGCGCTTTCGGCATGACGTAATCATCGCGCGACACCTACCATAACCGAATTTGCCCTGGTATGCACCTGCCAGGCAGCATGTTAATCCTGAATCAAACTGCTGCAAATCACAGCGCATAACCGGACTGGTTTAAAGCTCTATTAATGGATGGCTTGCACGCGTGTGTTTGCGTGTGTCTATGTAGCCTACAAGAAATTGTGTGCTCAAAAAATGTTTTGGGTTTCAGTTTTTTCTTTTCTATATACAGTTTTACAGAACAATATGCTGTTATTCTGTTTTCTATCTATCTGTTTTCCAACTACTTAGAATACAGTCTAAACAGGATTGCCAACCAATTTCGAATCTTTTGGGCATCGTTACGGCAATATTAAATAATTAAGTCCAGAAAACAACTCAACTCAACTCACCTTTATTTATATAGCGCTTTACCACAGCTGAGCAAAGTGCTTAACATACAATACAAATCTAAAATCGTAACAACATAAAAAACAATAAAACATACATTTGGGTCCAATCAATCAATACTTAGAGTATGGCGTTGAAAACTGGGGAAAATTCATACAAAAGCTCACTTCAACCATTGTATATATTACAAAAAAGAGCGATAAGAATTGTGCATAAGATGGGGTATAGGGATCACACCAATGTAGCTTTTATACAGTCTAAATTGTTAAAATTTTTCAATTTAGTGGGATATAAGACTGCTGTGTTTGTGTATAAAGCCAGGAACAATTTATTACCTGGTGGAATTCAAAAACTATTTAATGAAAGGGAAGGGGGATACAATTTAAGGGGTCAGTTAAATTTAAAAATTCATGCTATACGTACAACCAAAAAAAGATTTTGTATTTCCATAAGTGGGGTAAAACTATGGAATAATTTAAGTGTAGACATAAAAAATAGTAATAGAATTGATGAGTTTAAACATAAATATAAAGGTATGTGTCAATCAAGATATATGCAAGAACAGGTTTAATGATTAATTACATGGACAATTGTGGGTGTGGTGTACATTTTCTAATAATTCTTTAGTATATTACTTGTGTGATGTAAGAATGTTAACACTGTTATATTCTTTTTTTAGTATAATACTTGTGTGGGTAGAAGTGAATCATTTACTGCTTGCAAACCAATGATGGTAAGATGATGTCATGGGGTAGGACTGGATAAGTCTGACTTCTTCCTACTCCATTCAAGCATGTACTAGGTATAAGCAAATTTATATTGGATTATGTGTAAAATTATGTTTGTTGTCATATCAACTGTTTTTACATGCTTGAAAGAATAAATCAAATCAAATCAAAAATCAAATCAAATCAAGGTAAAAAGAGTCTCAGTCCTGTCCAAACGCCAATGAATACAAATAGGTCTTCAAATATGACTTAAAAATGGGCAACGAGGGGGCCTGCCTCATATAAAGAGGCAATGCATTCCACAAATTTGGACCCACCACCGCGAAAGCTCTATTCCCCCTAGTTTTCCGCCTGGCCCTCGGTGCCTCCAGAAAAAGCTGATCAGTTGATCTAAGGCACCGCGACGGATTAAACGGACGTAAAAGTTCCGTAAGATAAGAAGGAGCAAGCCCATTCAAGGACTTATAAACAAATATAAGATCTATCTTTAGTGATATTTAATATGACTTTCATGGAAGGGTTAAGTGCATTAAGAAAGCAAAAAGTCTCCACAGCAAAGAGCAAAGTAAAACAAGAGCACTCCTTACTTATAATCTCGCTATCAATGTAGACGTTACATCTGTTTGTACAGAACACTGTGCTCTGTATCCCCATTGTCTTTCTCATAACAAAGGCGCTAGCCAGACAGCAATACTGAACACGCGTGAACACTACTGTTTTAACAATAGTTTAACCAATAGTAAACATTAAAAACATCTTTTGAGTAAAATGACAATTGATTTATATCTGATTCATAATCGATTTAATATAATTTCACAAATTTCCTTATCAGAATCACTGCTTCATGGCCACTTTTTAGGGTGTACACTGCCTATCGCCCAATGCCTGCAGGGATCGACTCCAGCCCTGTACAGAATGACATTGCGGCGCTACCAGGAAGGCTCCAGTCTCACTAATATTCATTATTAGATACACAATTATGAAATGTATTCAAATAAAGCTAGGCTTAAAATAATATAATTATAAAATACATTTGTTACACGAAATCTTAGGTACAATGACCAAACTATGAAGAATGTTGATATACAGTAAATGTGCTTCTCTAGTTGTCTGCTGTTGTAAATTTCCTTAGGCTACAATATGGACGTCTGCCTGCAATACTTCCCGTTACATTTTCAGTTTGAACACAGCTCCCCATTTAATTTGTCCAGTTTCTTCCAGACATAAACGGAAGCGGTCTTCGATGACCTGTTGCTCAAAAAAAAAAAAAAAACCTAAACAAAACAGAAGTGCAATAAATGATATTTCAGAATATAGGCTTATTAACAGCATTATGGTTAAATACAAAACACGTTAAATAGTTTTAATAGTAATCGTTATACCATTACGTAATAATTGTTATGCCGTTACTATGACAAACAATATTTTTGTTAGCAGATTAGCCGAATTAATAAATTGACTGTTCAGTGAAAATAATATACATTTTTAGATTCGGGATTCGGATTTCTGTTGTCCTTTCTACTACTTTTCATTTCTTTTTCGACTACCGCATGTTATGCATACTTTGAAAATAGAACATTTTAGATTTATATTGGTGGGTACGAAATATGCGCAGTCCAATGTTTGTCACACTTTTATTTTGAAAGATTTGCCCGGAAGATAAATGTGCTGTCTCACTCTCTCTCTCTCGAACAGGAACTGGTCTGCCAGCAGCTGAGCGGCAGACAAGATATGATAAACAAACCTTAGGACAGATTATTTTGCACAAACCAAAGTGAATATTCATCATCGAGGCTCGCTAACATCCCTGCAGTCCTTATGCTATACAAGGCATGGCAGAGAGACCGGACAGTGAGGTAAGTTAACATTAGCTTTAATCATCTATTAGATGATTAGGGGTTGCATCGATGCGGAAAATAGTGCACATTTTTCATTTGGTTATTTGTCTTAGCAGTCAGAATTTGACAAAGTACTGACAAAGTCAGTAATAAATAAAATCTGACTACAGCAAACACAGCTCTGCTGACATCTAGACAGATAAAGTTAGAAATTTGTGCTAGCAGGACGTTAGCTAGCATTACCTTCCAAGCTACAACCTTAGGTCTGTAGCCAAATTAAAGTTAGGAGATTTTCCTGTGTCTGGCCTGTCAGCAGCGTTTAGATTAATGCAAAAGAAAGGTCGCCATCTAACGTTACACCCTCTTGTAGACCTCGACAAGACAGTTTTCATCCAGTGCTAAATTAGCTGAATGAATGAGGGAGTTTGCTTTGTTTATCAGGAAGCATGCATTTTAGTTATTTCTTATGTCTGATGTTTTGCAAAATAATAATTACTTTTGATAAACTGGGCGTACATGTAACTCGTGAAGATGGAATTTATTAATGAAATCTGAACTTGAAGCTGAAGTGATGCAGACTAAAGCAAGTGCTCAATTGTAACATTTATGGAGATACAGCTATGGCCAAAAATATTGGCACCCCTGCATTTCTATCAGATAACGCACCACTTATCCAGGAAAACTGTTGAAATCACAAATTCTTTGGTATTCTCTTGTTTATTTCTTTTGTTTGCATTGGAACAACACAAAAAAGCCAAATCTAATCCATTCCACACAGAACTCCAAAAATGGACTGGACAGAATTGACACCTTCATCTTAATATCTGGTAGCCCACCCTCTGGACATAACTAAAATCGGTCTCTTCCTGTAATCATCAATGAGCTTCTTCCACTACTGGAATTGTGGACCACTCTTCTTTTGCCGACTGCTCCAGGTCTATCACATTTGAAGGGTTCCTTCTCCCAGTTACTGTTCTGAGATCTCTACACAGGAGCTCTATGGGACTTAGATCTGGACTCATTGTTGGCCACTTCACAACTCTCCAGCACATTGTCTGAAACCATTTCTGGTGCTTTGTGAAGTCTGCTTTGGGTCATTGTCCTGCTGTAAAACCCATGACCTCTGATGGACCAAACTTTCTGACACTGGGCCCTACATTGTGCCCTAGAATTCATTGGTAGTCTTCAGATTTCATAATGCCACACACACAGTCAAGACATCCAGTGTCTGAAGCAGCTAAATAACTCCAACACATCAGTGAACCTCAACCGTTTGACTGTAGGGACGCGTTCTTTTCTTTGAAGGCCTCATTTCATTTTGTGAAAACAGTAGAATGATGTGCTCGACAAAAAAGCTCTATTTTAGTCTCATGTGTCCACAGGACATTCTCCCAGAAGGACTGTGGCTTCATCAGGTCAGTTTTGACAAACTCCAGTCTGGCTTTATGTCTCTGTGTCAGCAGTGGGTCCCCTGGGTCTCCTACCATAGCGTCCCTTGTCAATCAGATGGTGACAGATGGTGCGAGATGACACTGTTGCACCCTGTGTCTGCAGGTCAACTTGAATTTGTTTGGAAGTTGATCAAGGTTCTTTATCCATCATTCAAACAATCCTTTGTTGGAATCTGTCGTTCTCTTTCGTCCACGTCCAGGGAGATCAGCTACAGCGCCATGGGCTGTAAACGTCTTGACAGTGTTGTGGACACAGGAACAGCCAGATCTCTGGAGATGGACTTGGAGCCTTGAGACTGTCCAGGCTTTTCTACTATTGTGGTTCTCAAATCCTCAGACAATTTTTTGCTCTTCTTTCTTCTCTCCATGCTCAGGATGAGTCAACTTTTCTCCATTTTAACTGGTGACCAGTGTGGTTTCTATGTTGCCAGCACCTGTTGGTTGCTACAGATGAGTTTCATTAAAAAATAAAAGGAGCATCACAGGCTGGAAATACAACTGTTTCTGATGATTTTGAAAAAGGTCCTTAATTTAGCCCATGTTTGGAGTTCTGTGTGGAAGATTTGGCTTTTTCTCTGCTTTTTTGTGTTGTTCCAATGCAAACAAAAGAAATAAACATGAGAAACCAAAGAATTTGTGATTGTAGCAGTTTTCTGGCTGTAGTGGTGTGTTATCTGACAGGAATACAGGGGTGCCAATGTTTTTTTTGGCCATGACTGTAGCTCCACAGGAAAACTATTTAAGTATCTGTTTGATTACAGAAACAATTCGACCCATATTATAGACAGTTTGGCATTTGATATTCAGCGATGAGTGGGGTCATCAATCCCAGATCTGAGTCTTCAGTGCCGCTCAGAGGAATTGGTGCATTGTCTTGATTACATTTACAGATCACAGAGGAGCATCGCACTCAGTGACTCAAAGTTATTTGATTTAAAAAGACCATCAGTGCCACAATCACACTGAGTACCTCACTTTGAAATTGTGCATCCATGGGTCACAGTAAGACAACTCATAAAAACAACCTCTTGAGCTCTGCAAGCTGTCATCTCATCTCTCACAGGTTTGACGATAGGTCTGTTTTATAGGCTTAGAAGAATTTACAGTACAGGAGAAGAATTCAGAGTACAAAATGAAAAATGCAGTAAGTTTCAGATGTAAGGGTTATCCAGAAACATGTTAGACCTCACTCTGCTTTCAAACATACAATAAATTCACCCAAATGATAACATCTAAAATTCATAATTATTAGCTTATTTTATAATACTGATCTTAGTCTGTACGGGTGCTACACTTTGTGATTGTGACAATAATGAAGTAAATAAATCAAGTGATGTCTTGTAATTGTGAGGAATCCTCTTCTGTGGTCACTGATGGCTCAAAAGGTATTGAGGATTAATCTTACTAAATATCTGAATAACCAACGTCAAACTGTCAACACAGCTGTAGTTACACTAAATTTAACACTGAATGCTAATATTCGTTAAAGGTCTTATATAAGGTCTTAAATGACATATATGGCAGCTGTTTAATTTTGAAAAGTAGCAGATGTTTGGTGTTGAATATGTAGAGGCTGAATCAAATGCTGTCAGTAAACGTACTGTTTGAGATCAGTGAGCAGAAAGTATTGTACTGCTCAGATTAGTTCATCATATTCATTATAAACTCATCCACAGTAGAATATCTGAAGAACAGTATTTATAATTTGAGGTTTGTTTTTGTAGATTTATAATATTTTGTACAGATTATTGTTATTCCCTGTACAGTATTTTATTCAATAGTAGGATGAACCCTGTTCTAAAAATGCTAATGTGACCTGTCATGTGGGTTCATGCAGCTGGGTTCAATGGTGACACTGTCCCACACTCACTTGTTTTGAGTAGGTTTACCATTTGTTTCTCACCATAAGGTGGAGGAGGCTGACCAGATCTACCTACTGATGAAGGAGGACTATCGCATTTCTAGGAATGTTCGTCTGGCGTGGTTCCTTGGTAAACTTAACCAAGTCATCTGGCCGGCCTCAAAGCCCGAACTGGTGAGTGAACCTTAGCTTTTATTTCAGTTTCCTGTCCTCATGATGGCCTGGCAGGACTGAGATTGAAGTGTCTAATGGTACAGTATACATGTTTGAAGTGGCATATGTAAATGGTATGTCACTGTTGGCTTAGTATGCTGTTGCTTTTTTACTGGTATATACTAGGGATGGTACAATATATCGAAATCCAATATATTGCCATACAAAAACATCACAATATGTATTGTTTTGTCTAGTGATGTATATCGTGTGGTGTCCATACACCAGGGGCTTCATATTTTTTGTAAATAGCCTAAGAGAATGTAAGTCAGTATATCTGGTTGTTCTTTACATAATTAAACCAGTGCTAGAAAAGAGGAAAAAAAGACAAGTAAAGTACAAGTTTTCAGTAACTAGTTATAATACAGTCCATATCGTGCATCAAATCATATCAAGAAAAAGTCATGTCATCCCATCTCTAGCATGTACCACTCCCACCGACATGTACTAATTCTTACTGGCATATCTCACTGCTGATTGCTGCTGTGTCAGTTCTGAATGGTTTGTCGCTTGTATTCAAGTGGCAACTACAGTACTACTCTCCGCTGCCATACTACTGGTATTGACACTCTGTTTTCATTATATAATTGATTCTTTCACAACTGGACAAAAGCTAATCTCCCATTTTCACAAGGAGAGTATTTCTCTGATCCAGTATTTAAAAGAGGGAGGAGTCGGTTGTGTCTAATTAAGCAGCATTCATCTCTTGGCTGGTTTAATTGGTTTAATTATAATATATTTCTGAGGAGTGTAAATAAGTATAAAACACCTTAAATTAATTACTGATCGCTTGCTCTTCATTCAAAATATTTCCATTATATGAAAGGGACATTTGCAATCACATTACAAGCTGTAGATTGTTACTTCTGCTAAAGGAGGTTGTGTGTTTGGTTTTGTATGTGTATGTGTTTTTTGGTTAGCAGGATTACAGACAAAAGGCTAGATGGATCATCAGTGTACTTGGTACAGACATTGGTGGGGACTAACCCTAGTAGTAATTACATTTTGGCTGAAAAAAAGTCAAGGTCACAAGTAACTCTAGTAGCATCAGGTGTCATTTACTGAAAGAAAGTCGGTCTACTTTTTTCTTAATTCAAAGCATTGTCACTACGCTCTGGGCATCTACTAAATTCATAAAGAATGATCATTGTAATTTGACAGGGCCCTAAAATGTTTTCTGAACCTCCTAAATGTTGGGAATTATTGACCGACATTATATTTGACTTTCACTCCATTTACAGCTGAATTCAGAGAATGAATTGGACTTGCTGAGTGTCCTACCTAAAGGATGGCAGCTGGATTTCTCCCCCACCATGTATCCTTACGTCTTGATGCCGTCCACGCGGGCCACCTTCCTGGCCCGGAGGTATCGCTTCATCATCGAGCTGGACCTCAGCCCGTCCACAGGGATTGTGGTAAGACTTAAACCCAGTTTAACTGTTAGTAGCTTGCTTCCTGAATGACTGTAGTCCACACATTCTGTATGAGAGTTCATTTCCCAGAAGCTGCAAATGATTACTCATTTTTGTTTCAGTTATTTGTTTTGTAAGATCTTTATGGTGGACATGTATTTATTATTGTATCTGACATACGCCTCTATCAACATGTTCTAAAATGAACCTTTTGACTCACAGGCCAAAGTGGATGGTAGATGAAAAGAATCCACAGGCCAAACATTTTTTACCAGACAAAATAATAAACTGGCTTTTTTGTGTCACGTGCACATATGCTTTAGGATTTCATTGACACAAAAGTAAAGAGGCCAGAGCAAAATGATATGCTATATTGGTCAGCAGTTAATAAATTCATTTTTGAATAAAAATTTTGTCAACCTATTGGATGCTGCCACAATCACCCGCTTCTCTGCACGGTCCACGAAGTCTGGTCTCTGGTCTGCGCCAGAGTGTGGTGCATGTTCTGCAGGGACCCACCGCTAGTCTGTGGGTAGTCTTCTGACATTTACTTGTCAAATGGAAAACCTACCCATGTTTGGTGCCAGGCGGGTGTTAATTTCTGACCCTGTCTACAGAATATTCAGTATAACACCTTAGTTGAATCGCATCAAGCGTATGACCTCTGCTGCATTCTGCCTGTAGGCCCACAGTGAGCTCTCAAGGGACACGAGTGATGAGTAGTTGCTTTCCTGGGCTTGACTTGTAATTGTACAGTTTTAGTTTGTCTGTGTTGTTGTGCAGGTCAGATTGCAGACTGCACTGGAAAAAGATCATTGTTAGCTTGGGTCTTGCAGCTCATACTCCAACTGGTTTTTCACCATGCTAGCGGCATGCCTCGAGGGATGGCACTGTTGATTTGCTCTGTACTGAAATGTCTCAACACCTGCTGAATGGATTACCATCAGAATTTGTGCAGACATTCTGTAATATTTTAGTGCTATTTTCAAGCCAGAATTTCAGATTGTCCAAAGCTCAGAAGCTGTTGACTTTGCAGTGAGGTTATTTGTCCAGATGAAGGTGAGCCATAGTGCCAAGCTGTGCATAGCTGAACACAGGAGGAGCATTTAAACCAAAGAGCAGCCGTCCCCGCACTTGAATGTGCTTCCCTGACACCCCCGACAAGATCATCAAATAGAACCAATGTAGACTCATTCGTATGATGTTTTTTCTCATCTTGGTGTTTCCACCCCTTTCATACTGAAGACAGTATTTTGACCCTTTCTTATGAGACTACTGAAACAGATCAGTCTCTGGCTGACAGCACCCACCAAGTGGAGTTTGACATGTTTCACTGCCATTCTCACATAGGAGACTTTTATGATATTGTACTTTACTGATTCACTCAGGTTAAATTTATAGAAAGGCAGGCAACTGGAGAGGAGAAGAGAGGAGAGAGGAAGCTGTGGAGTGGACAGCAGTGAGAAAAATGATATGGTTCTGAGGAGGAAGACTGCTTTCTGTTCTCTGGATTGCAGGAGTTGAACATGTTATTTGGAAGTCGAGAGCTGCTCATTTCTTTTCTCACAGTGAATCCATTGATGTAGGTTCATCATTTAGCCTGATATTATTAAAGTGAAAACTGCTGTCTGTTTTGTAATCACTGAAAGTGCACAAGACTTGAATGACAGGACTTGCACTTGCTGCATGTAAAGGATTTTTCTGCATATTCATGAATTCATCCATGCATGAATGAACATTAAAAATAGAATGGAGCAAATGGGTCTGATTATTATAGTGTTTGTAGGAGGGATTGTTATATGTCATGGTACATAGTGTGTGTGGAACATTATGCTGTCATGCTGGCTTCTCTGACTCATGTAGTTCCTTAACACTTTAAACTAGGGTGTACAACTTACTACCACATATGCACCATGCAAAGCTAAAGACAAAATCTTTGCTAATAATTAGATAATTGGCTTAATTAGGGTTAGGGTCATATATTAGGCTTAGGGAAATGTCAATTCGTATAACTTGTAAAGCATATATAGTAGAAGCCACAGGAACCCCATATGAAGTAGATGATCATATTCTATATGATTTATATTTTCGTGTGTCTTGCAGCATACATCTGTATATTAATGACACAGAACAAATTTTTTTATACTTTTGTTAGCATTCTTGATGATAAGCTACTAGTAATGTGAGCATACATGTTCCTTTGTCATGGAGTTCATAGCAGGACATAAGGACATTCTGGCATGTCTTGGTTTAACTTCTTTTGCTTCAGTCACACTTGAAGGGGGGTGGCACAGTGTCATGGTGGTCAGCACTATTGCTTCACAGCAAGAAGGTTCTGGGTTTGAGCCCCAGCTGACCCGGGGCCTTTCTGTGTAGAGTTTTCATGTTCTCCCTGTGCCTGCGTGGGTTCTCTCCGGGTTCTCCGGCTTCCTCCCGCAGTTCAAAGACATGCAGCTTAGGTTGGCTGGTGACTCTAAATTGCCCGTAGGAGGTTTTCCATGAAGAGACAGAAGACCGCCTGAATCCCCAGAAGACCTGAGCCAGGTTCTCCTAGGTGGTGGAACAACATACCTGCCAAGTACAATGAAAACCTGTGTGCAAGTGTACTGAGGAGAACTGGTGTGGTTTGAGTGGTGGTCACGGTGTATTCTCTCTTTTGATGAATAAAATCTATTCATGGTATTACAGCTGGAAAGATTGTGTGCAGTACTATGCACATTAGCTGTGGCATATAAACTATGTTGAAAGATCAGCATTTCTAAACCAGATACTTGATATGTTGAAGGTAATTTAGAAAAGGTTTGTCCACCCAAGAAAACTAATTTCAACCATGAACTATCACATTCACTATATATATATCGTGGTCAGCAGTCTTTAAAGCTGCACTAATCAAGAGCATTTTAGTGCCTTTACATTTTTGGGTCAGTCTCACATCAGCTGCATTTCAAACAGGAAAGACACAAATTAACATGAATGCATAATCCTTGTCAATTAGAGACAAGTACCATAAAGGGGTGGAGCCATATAAATAGACAAATCTGAGATCCCCCATGGGACTTAAATAGCGCCTTGTCACTGGAGGGGCAACAACATGGCTAAGGGGGTTTAAATGTTTGCATAGGAAATCCCAAGCACAGAACCCTGGAAATCATTAGAAAATGTTAGGGTGCCCTAAAGGTTTCACCTCCAGCAGCAGCAACAGGCAGACATTGTTTATCTGAATTTGGTGGAGATCAAAACGGAGGCAGACATCTGAGTTACCCAGGTGTTACCAAGCAGTGTAGGTTTGTCTGTTGTTTCACAGCTGCTGTTTTGCATATCCTTATAGAGTAAGGCCTCTATCTGACAGAACTGAGAGGTTACTGATTTTTGATATGTATTTGAGGCATTTACTTTTCTGTTCTGCAGGATGACAGCACCGGAGAGATGATCTTTGATGAGGTTTTTCATGCCTTGTCGAGGTGCCTGGCCGGTCTGGCTCAACCTTTCAGAGTCCCTGGAACTGATCAGCTTTTCAAGCCTAAGATCTTCATCACCATCTTGGTGTATTCATCAATTATTGGCCTCACGTCTCATCAGGTCATTTATAGTAGTTTACCTGTTTTTGTTTCCTGGATGTTCTACAAAAGGCTCTACAGCCTTGGAATGAATGATCTAAATCTCAGAGTAACTTAAACCCAGGTTGAACAGCAGTGTTCCCCTGCACCTTCTGGTTGAAAGTGTGTTCCACCTCTGGACACAGCCAGTGTCACTGTTGGATGTGGGTGCTTGCACCTGTTAACCCTTAAGAAAGAAGTGTTTGAGAGTGAGGTGTCAAAAACTGTAGCAGGTCAGGTATTCACTGTCCCATGAGCCACCATTACTGAAAAACTAAACAAACAGTTTTTATAGAGTCAGTGGAGATGTCCTCACTCTCCTCCTTAATTACCCCTACTGTTAAGCACACCCAGCAGTGATGTCACAGGGTTCTGAAGCACACCTGTACATCACTGCAGCAAGGTGAGAAGTTAAACCACTGGAGGTCAGCCCAAACCAAACTTCAAGGGGCTAAGTTACTCTTTAAAGAGTACTACAGCTACATTACTTAAATCCCCCTGTATGTATCCTTATTTAAATGTGGTTATTTAACTGGACTTAAACTAAATTGAGCCTAACTGCAATTCATGGTAGGCTTTTCTGATTGCAGACTCCTAATAGTACATTACAGGTATTGTATTTGTTTCCATATGATATATAAAGCTGCTGAAGATGTTGTTAACAGTCCCCTGACATCCTTGATTCCCCCTGCAGGTTTTGGTACAGGGTTGTCAGCTTGACAGAACAGACCTCAGTGAGTTTCTGCATCACATCTATCAGCAGCTCAGAGCAGTGGAGAGCAACATCGCAGAGGTCCTGCAGCAGCAACACGAACAGGCAACAACGGTGCTGAATGAATCCTTTCTTCTTGATATTATCAATCTCAGCTTCTCCAAAATTGTCAATGATATGGCTGGTGATGTTTGATATTTTCATTAGTCAACAAATCCCTCATTTAGATCCAAACAGCACCGAAGGTCTCATACTAACAAGTATTGTGCATCAAAGTCAGATGTACTATTCCTCACACAGCTTTACTGTTCTCCAAAACATGGATGTCTGAACAAAATTTCACATCATTAGTACATGCAGTTGATTTTGGTTTTGTTGTACTTGATGTCACCATTTACTGGTCATGTGAAGGTGTTTTAGTTTTCAGTTTTGAAGATGTATTTATTTTTCCTGTGCATTTAGTCTGTGGAGCCGGTTCAAAGCTCAGATCTTCATAATAACAGCATGGACATCCAGCCCTACACCAAGCAGGGCATTTCCATGGTGTCAGCTGATATAAGTCTGGTCAGCATGGTACGCCAGGGCATCCTGGCCCTTCAGTTGCTGCCCCCAAACTCCAGTGCAGGTAGGTTTGTCTTAAGTATCTGAGGTTCTTGATCGAGGGTTTGTCTAATTCATTATAAAATTATTTCCTGGAAATTCTCCAGATTACCCCCAGCAGCCAGGCTTTCGACAGGACAGCTGCTGCACCTGCAGCTTTTCTAGATCCCCCTGCCTCTTATTTCACCCTGTCAGACTTTCTCTTTGAAGCTGCCCACCAGCAATGTTGCCGTGTCAAGTACACATTCTGTCTATAGTAGAGGTTTTTAAAACTTATTTCAATATCAGCTTCCCACAGGTACAGAATACATGTTTACTGTATGTGCTTAGAGGTGGCGGTTTCTCTGGACACTTTGCAGCGTTGTTTCTAAATACTGCACATGTTGTCAGATTGTTCAAGCTGCTTTTTTCAGGTGCTTGTGTTTCACCTACTTGCACGTTTTTTTCTCAAGTTGCAGCGTGTTGACCTCTCAGTGCCACTGTAGGCTAGCATCTTTGTTGTTCATGACATCGTCCTCCTGGCTTTGTCATGCTCAAGTTTCCATCCTGCAGTGCAGTTTTTCCTGTTTTGATATCTGACTGGTGTGAACAAAGATTTAAGACCTGAGGATGCTTCAGATAAACTAGGTCATACGTCACGAACTGAAAAGTCTGTTGTCATAGCCATGTTCTCTCTGCACCCAGACAATACTGTCTTGTAGTCTTGACACACACAATTTCTGTTTGAAGACATCCATGCTGTTGAGAGAGTATTGTGGCAAGAGTGAAGATGAAGAGCTTGAGAGCGAGAAGGCCAAATCTTGCTTACTTTTCACATCTCACATCTGACCAAGCACTGTGTTGCATAATCAGTTTATATTGGGAGAAATGACCTTTTACACAAAAGAGGCATATTATGTGACTTCATAATTAAATAACAGATTCAGTAATTTAACTTGTGTCTGTTCCAGGTATCATTATAATCACAGATGGAGTGACTAGTGTTCCTGATGTAGCTGTGTGTGAAACCCTGTTGAACCAGCTCAGGAGTGGAGCCATTGCCTGCTCCTTTGTGCAGGTACCTATGACATGTTTTGTGTTATTGATATGCTGTGGCTTAACTTGATGTCATATATATTAGGGAATGCTGTTAGTTTCTGTGTCGTGTCTATTCAGGTGTTCAGTATTTGTGGGTTTGTCATAACATTTTTTTAAACTAGTGCTTGCACACCAGCATTCCAGTTTTAATCATGGTGGCGGGTTAGAGAGAAAAGACTGAGAAAGGCTGAAATGGTGTTAGTGTGTATGCGTCATGTGAACATTACATGCTGAATATAAAAATGCTGGATAATGAATGGAGGAGATGTTTAGAAGCTACTACACTAACATCTCTGACTACTCTTCTTTGAATTGTGTTTGTCCCTTCAAGGTTGGAGGCGCATATTCATACGACTGCAGCTTTGGATACATCCCCAACATAGAGCTGATGAAGTTCATCTCATTAGCCACCTTTGGTTCATACCTGCCCAGCTGTCCTGAAGTGGACCCACACAGCCAGGAGATGAATGCCTACCACAAGGCCTTCTTAATCTACTCCTTCCTCAAGACCTCTGAGTCGATGAACTCGGAGTACTTCTGTGGTGAGATATGCAGGCAAATCATTGTCATAGTACAGTGGTGTGAAAAAGTGTTTGCCCCCTTACTGATTTCTTATCTTTTTGCATGTTTGTCACACTGTAATGTTTCAGATCGTCAAACAAATTTATATATTAGTCAAAGATAACACAAGTAAACACATCATGCAGGTTTTAAATGAAGGTTTTTATTATTAAGGGAAAACAAAATCCAAAACTATAGAGCCCTGTGTGAACAAGTGTTTGCCCCCTAAACCTAATAACTGGTTGGGCCACCCTTAGCAGCAACAACTGCAATCAAGCGTTTTCGATAACTTGCCATGAGTCTTCCACAGCGCTGTGGAGGAATTTTGGCCCACTCATCTTGGCAGAATGGTTGTAAGTCAGCCACATTGGAGGGTTTTCGGGCATGAACCGCCTTTTTAAGGTCATGCCACAGCATCTCAATTGGATTCAGGTCATGACGTTGACTAGGCCACTCCAGTCTTCATTTTGTTTTTCTTCAGCCATTCAGAAGTGGACTTGCTGGTGTGCTTTGGATCATTGTCCTGCTGCAGAACCCAAGTTCGCTTCAGCTTGAGGTCACAAACGGATGGCCGGACATTCTCCTTCAGGATATTTTGGTACACAGCAGAATTCATGGTTCCACTTATCACAGCATGTCTTCCAGGGCCGGAAGCAGCAAAACAGCCCCAGACCATCACACTACCACCACCATATTTTACTGTTGGTATGATGTTCTTTTTCTGAAAGGCGGCGTTACTTTTACGCCACACATAATGGGACACACACCTTCCAAAAAGTTCAACTTTTGTCTCGTCTGTCCACAGAGTATTATCCCAAAAGTCTTGGGGATCATCAAGATGTTTTCTGGCAAAACTGAGACGAGCCTTTATGTTCTTTTTGCTCAGCAGTGGTTTTCGTCTTGGAACTCTGCCATGCAAACCATTTTTGCCCAGTCTCTTTCTTATGGTGGAGTCATGAACACTCACCTTAACTGAGGCAAGTGAGGCCTGCAGTTCTTTGGATGTTGTTGTGGGGTCTTTTGTGACCTCTTGGATGAGTTGTCGCTGCGCTCTGGGGGTAATTTTGGTCGGCCGGCCACTCCTGGGAAGGTTCTCCACTGTTCCATGTTTTCGCCATTTGTGGATAATGGCTCTCACTGTGGTTCGCTGCAGTCCCAAAGCTTTAGAAATGGCTTTATAACCTTTTCCAAACTGATAGAGCTCAATTATTCTCTTTCTCATTTGGTTTTGAATTTCTTTGGATCTCGGCATGATGTCTAGCTTTTGAGGATCTTTTGGTCTACTTCACTTTGTCAGGCAGGTCCTATTTAAGTGATTTCTTGATTGCGAACAGGTGTGGCAGTAATCAGGCCTGGGTGTGGCTAGAGAAATTGAACTCAGGTGCGATAAACCAGTGTTTTGACAGGGGGGCAAACACTTGTTCACCCAGGGCTATATAGTTTTGGATTTTGTTTTCCCTTAATAATAAAAACCTTCATTTAAAAACTGCATGATGTGTTTACTTGTGTTATCTTTGACTAATATATAAATTTGTTTGACGATCTGAAACATTACAGTGTGACAAACATGCAAAAAGATAAGAAATCAGTAAGGGGGCAAACACTTTTTCACACCACTGTAAGTTAAATGATGTCAGCCCCTAAATGTGAAATTTCTGACATTTAATCACTGGAGCTCACACTGGGCGAGAGGCAGTGTTCGCCCTGGACAGGTCACCAGTCTATCACGGGACTGACACTTAGAGACACACACTCCTAGGGGCAATTTAGAGTCGCCAATCAACATAAGCTGCATGTCTTTGGACTGTGAGAGGAACCTTGAGCTCCTGGAGAGACAGTTAATCACTATTGAATCCTTAAATTGCAAGGACAAAAACAGAACACTGAAATTTAAATACCACTGAATTTATTACACCAAAATATTTGGCTTTGAAAAGCACCTTTCTAAAATGTAATGTGGGTTGAATTTAACTTCGTGAAATTCTCAATAGACTGTTTCAAGCTGTGCAGTTTCACTACACTACTGTTCAGAGGTTTGGGTTCACCTCAGTTTTTCCCGTTTTTATTTTTACATTTGAGCAGTTCATGTCCAGTGAAAGGCCTTAACTGCTACAAAGCTAAGAAGTAAACCACCAGAGATAAAACAAGAAAAAAAGAAGTTGCCAAAATCATGTAATTTGTTTAAAGTTCATGTAAAACACTCCTTTTTCAGGGATCAAATAAGTTAATTTTTTCAGCTGTAGTGGGACTAAATGTAGAAAGTGTTAAGTTGTTAAACCCTATCTAGATCACCTGAACTAAAGAAAGTATACCTAACCTTACCACCGTGATCCCTTTCAGGGAGCTTTCTGTAGTAAATGTGCCACTTTTAAGGTGAAGCTCTCATAAAATGAATGTTTCCTGTTTTATTCTGTTGGATTTATGTTCTATGACATTATTTTTTAGATAGGAAACGATATAGTGTAGGCAAGCTGGTAGTGATGATGATGATGATGATGATGTTGAAAATAAATAAACATACATACTAAGCACTTCACTGCTTTGTAGTTTCCCAGCACAAACTATTCAATGAGCACTTGGTGTCAGCCAGTGGTAACCCTGCCCTGGTCATGAGGAGGAAGAAGCACACAGAAAAGGAAGTCCATGCTCATTTAATCAGTGTGGTGTCTGTGCGGCTGAGAGAGGGCTACACCATCAGAGAAATCAACCTTACCAAAGGTGAATGTCTGTGTTTGCAAAAGTCTCAGATATTTAAAAGTGCAGGAGCAAATAGCTCAGATGGTGCCGTGTTAGATCTTCCTCTTCACTGATAGTGATGCTCCTGGTTCCATAAGGTGGGACTCAGCTTGAGGTGAAGCTGGTGTTGCTGTGGAAACACAACATGCATATCGAGTACCTGGCAGCCGCCTCCTGGCCACTGGATCCAACCAAGAGAACCACTAGGGTGGAGGTGACAATGGAGGGAAGCTATGATATCCTGCATGACATCAGCTGCACCCAAAGGAAACCCATCACCAGCCCGTACCGCACCTCAGTCATCCGACGCTTCTGGAACACGCTGCAGAGGTACAGCTTCTGTATCTGGGGGAGCAAAGTATATTTTTTTCAGTACATTAAACAAATACAGAGTGTGCTAATTTTCACTAACAGGTGGACCATAACATCACAGTGGTATATTTAATAGAGATTGACTCCTAAATCTTTGTTTACTAACTGCATGTGCTGTGTGTCCTTCCAGCATCAACCAGACTGATCAGATGCTGGTGCACCTCCATTCCTTTAATTCAGTTCCTGAGAACTACATGATTCCTGAGAGCACTAAAAATGGAGTTCCTCTGTTCTACATCCCTCCTGGCTCCACTACCCCGGTACTGTGCACACCTTTATTGATCATACCTAACCGTTCTGGTCCTAGAGAACTCCTCTCCACTTCAGTGTACCGTTAATAAAATAAACATACAATAGCAATGAAAACAGGTGACCTCTTTGGAGCTGAATTCCATTTATTTATACATTTTTCTTTAAATATAGTCTGATTTTTTTTTTGTCTTGAATAGATTATTTATCTATTTAATTTAACTAATATAAATCCTGGTATTGTTCTTGTCCATAGTTAACACAAAGTCTGAACATTCACAGTGTAGGCTGGAGAAAAGACGTGAACTCTTTGGCTCATGACATCAACAAAGCTACCTGGAGTCGGGAGTTAACAAACCTGGTCTCCAGTCTGCAGGTGTGGGTTAGAGCCACTGTGCTAGTCACAAGAAGCATCAGCTGGTGGGTTAGAGCCACTGTCCTAGTCACAAGAAGCATCAGCTGATGTGAAGCATGCCTCACAAAGAACATCTCATTAGACCTATGATCAAGACCTGTTTCAAAGAGTTTAGACTATAAATGGAGACAGGTCAGCGATGACCACTCTCCCTAGAATCACTTGGAATCACTAAGGGAATCGCTCCTGCTCTCCAAAAAGGATCACTGCACCTAAGGTTTCCCAAGGGGAGGTGATAGTGGTGCACTGGTAGAGTAGTTGTCTCCCAACCAGAAGGTTGAAGGTTCGAATCTCAGTGCCGGCAGTCCACATGTCGAAGTGTCCTTGGGCAAGACACTGAACCCCCCCGTTACCCCCAATGGTTAGAGCCATTGGTTGAGGTGGTGCCGCAGATGGCTGCCATCGGTTCTGTACTGGCAACAAATTCCTTGCATGTAACATACTTGGCCAATAAAGGTGATTATCCTGATTATCCTTATCCAAAGTTCACCATGGCACTCTTTGACAGCAGTGGAGAGCAGCAGCGATTCCTATAGTGATTCCAAGTGCTTCTAGGGAGAGCGGTCAGAGCTGACCCATCTAAAGCACTTACCACTATAATTTTACTGTAGAATGACAAACCATTACAGATCTAGACATCTGAACAGAGCGCTTGAACCAGCTTACAACCAAGAATGAGCAAAACAAAAACAAAGGTGACACCTCAACCGCTGAGGGTACTGCTGTTGTTAACTTCTTCTTCTTCTTTAAAGTAGTTTTTCAAGCTGTCAAAAAAGGTCAGTTCAGAAAGTTGAGGGAGGAAACTCTTTCCAGGAGGCTTGAAATTGTACAACAAAGGGTCAGGTTTGCCAAAGTGCCATTTGCCAACTGTCAAATGGTGGCTACCATTTACCAGGTAGAAAGTAACTGTTAAATTACACGTCTATTAAAAACCATTTAAAATGTAAATGGTAAATGGACTGTATTTTATATAGCGCTTTCTCACAATGTGTTGCACTGGCCAAAGCGCTTTACAGAAGATCATACATTCACCCATTCACACACAACATTCACACACCGATGACGACAGGCTGCCATGCACCGGCGCTAGTCAAGCCACCGGGAGCAATTCGGGGTTCAGTGTCTTGCTCAGGGACACTTAGGCGTGCGGGGAGACCGGGAGTCAAACCACCAACTTGCTGGTCAGGAGACGACTGCCCTACCTCATGAGCCACAGCCACCCCCAGTGGATCGCACTGTTGCCTTGGGTGATGTGCTCCTTCATTACATAAACACACACTGTAGTTTATTCTGACTCAGTCCCACAGAGACAGACTAACATGTTGGTGTTTTCACAGGACTTGTTGACAATGTGAAAGTTTAAGAATAATGCCACCCTTATCCTTTCAATGTTAAAATGCTGCAATTGAATGAGTGATGGCTACTGTATATTCCACACTGCTCATCTGCCTTTGCTATCTCTTAATGACCTAAAATCCTTGCTTCCTGTCTTCGTTTCTCCTTCATCTGAGTGGTCTCCTCTGTTTCCAGGTCTTGTCCCTGCAGCATAGTGGATCCAAAGACTCCTCCCAGTCCCAGTTTGCTTCCTACTGGAAGCCTATCCTCTCCATGGACACTAACTTTTGGCAGAGATGGCTGCACATGCATCGCATCACTGTCATCCTTGAACACGACATGTGAGAAATCTGTTTTACAGTTTTAAAGCTGATTAGCACAGCCTAGTTAACAACTTCACTGGTAACACTAAGACCAGAAAGAAAAGGGGAAAAAGAAAACAATAAATTAAATGGTTGAGTGAATGTTGAATGTATATGAAGTGGACGTAGCGACGTGTGGCGTTCCCCCTGCTGGAGCCAATGTGACACCCAGATTTGCAGGTTAAGGTCAGTGTCATCTTTTCCACTTGGAGCCAGGACCTTCCTAATAAGGAGTTTGAAACTGATCGCTAGCTTGCTGAAAACACTGGCTACACTTCCCTTCTGCTACCTAGTGAACCACAAAATGTTAATGTTACACACTGCCTAGTAATAAACTATATTTCATAATGGTAATGTCAGTTTCACCTGGTGCATCAAAACATTAACAATGCCACCTGTGCACAGAGATGCAATCTGCTATCTGATTAGCAGTCCAGCTGGTGGGCCACAGAATGCAGATGTATGGATTTAATGTTAATGTTAGTCAAATATGCTGACAAGCTATGTATCACAATCAAGTAATGTATAACTTAAGGAAACAAGGAATGACAGCATTCTTTGACAGTCTTATTACTGTAACCCCTTATCCAGAGCCACAGTAGAGCTGCAGTCTGGAAAAATGTTTGTTATAGAAACAGATGCTCTGAAAATCCAAGAGAACAGCAGATGAACCATAGTTGTGAATCAGCGCCCACAGATTTGGTTCTATTTGTTATGGTCTGTCAGGCCTTCATTTCATTAATCATTTTTCCCCTCTAGGCCTGCCCCCAAACACCTACACACAGCTGGAAATAATGGACGTTACAGTACCATTCAGTGTCGGATCTCCCACTCTGCCCTCACATCGCTGCTGAGGGACTGGAGCAGCTTCGTGCTGGTGGAAGGTTACTCGTATGTTAAACTCATATACAGGTGAGACCATTCTCAGTTTAGGTCAGTGGTTCCCACCCCTCAAGGGGACCCAAGATAAGCTATGGGGGAGAGGTAACAAAATGATTAACGGGATAAAAAGGAAAATGTGTATTTTGTGTATAATTTGTTTAAAGGGCTCACAAGCCAAAAAGGTTGGACGCCACTACCTAAGGTCACAGCACACCAGCTCTGCTCTGGAAAAATAGTCCAGTTCCTCAAAGCTGAATGAATTCTGTCTTCACAGCTCATCAGACCAGCCTCCGACCTCCTTCTACCTGGTCCGTCTCATCTCCAAGGTGCCCTGCATGGTGCTGCGTCTGGGCTTCCCTATTGGTACACCAGCCCATGTTAGAAACAAGGTATGGAGCAGACAAAGTCAGAGAGGTGCTGATTCCACCCTGTGGCTCATGTTGTACCTTCTGGCGGTGAGGTATTAGCTTGCATTATATTGTAAGATGATAAGAGAATGCTACTAAAGGCTGTTACTGCTGTTTGACACTCAGCCTGTGAGTCGCAGGCTGTGTCAGTGGTTGAAGAAATATACAGACTCTTTGTTTAAGTACAAGAATCAGTGCAGCAATGTAAGAATACTCCATTTCAAGTAAAAAGTATTTCATTCAAATCCTACTTGAGTACATAAGAGTTAAAGTATCATTACCAAAATGTACTTCAAGTATAAAGTTGTTGTGACTGATATACTTGCATTAAATTAATCAGTGCCTTGGCAGCATTTTACTGTTGGAGCTGCTCTGGGTGGAGTTAGTTTTAACTACTTTAAATGAATTGGCTAGTTTAATCCAGAGATTTCCAGAGTGTTGTCAGATAAATCAGCTAATGGTCAACAAATTCTACTTCAGCATAATTTCAGCTATCAAAATGTTCAGCTCTTCAGGGACAGTCATGCGTCTCTCTTGCCCCATTCAAATGAATGGGAAAATTCTATTTCAGCATAATTTCAGCTATCAAAATGTGCAGCTCTTCAAGGATATTCCTGCTTCTCTTCAGAAGTTTTCTAAACTTCATACTTTTGAAATATTTAGCTTTATTTTGAAAATCTTGCCCCATTCAAATGAATGGGAAAATTCTACTTCTGCATACTTTCAGCTGTTTCAGCTATCAAAATGGTCAACTCTTCAAGGACATTCACACTTCTCTTCAGAAGTTTTCTAAACTTCATACTTTTAAAATATTTAGTTTTATTTTGAAAATCTTGCCCCATTCAAATGAATGGGAAAATTCTACTTCAGCATACTTTCAGCTAACAAAACCATTCAGGTGTCAAAATATTCAGCATTTTCAGGGCGATCTTTCAGCACTCAGCATCCATACACGTTTCTTCAGAAAATGCAATTCTCTAGTTTATTTTGTGGTCTTATTCTTAATAATGTAGTTGTTCACGTGTTATATGTTTTAAATCGGATCTTATGTTAAGCACTTTGTTTGGCTTTGGCTGTGTTAAAGTGCTCTTTAAATAAAGTTGAGTTCAGTTGAGTTGATGAAGAAGCACTTGGCTTGTACCAGCAGCCTCCTCCCAGGAGATCTGCTTCATCTCCATTCAGTCTTATTTTTTTATGCTCAAAACATTTTAAAATTCATTGTATTGTGGTCATCAATTTCTTCCTAAAGCACCACAGATTGATACTGCAGTAGAAGATTTGCGTGAAAATCCAACAGTCTGTAACTCGGTAACATCTGAGCAGGCTAAATATCTGTGGCAATAGGAGCTGTATTATCTGCCATCAACATTTGGTGACAAGTTGTCTTCAAACCAGTAGGCACATGCATCACAGTGCAAAACAGCACATTGGTTATGACAATATGGCGGATGTGACGGTCGCACGTGCATCTGGAGCTCCTGTGTTTGCCAAGGTTCGATTAAAACCTGACGTGTACACAACTATTGATGGTAAAGTTATAGTAGAGGAATTTTTGCATTTCCCCTGTTGGCAGTCAATACCTTTGGCACTGAGTGGATTGAGGCTTCGAAGAAAACGCTCTTTGAAGTCTGCGTCACTACCCAGCATAACGTCTTGCATAAGGGAGTGCATAAAGACGTTAATAATGTTAAGGCTTGCCTTAAAGTTTTGAACGAGTGTGGGGAGGACACCCCCAGATTTGTGTCTCACTACTGTCCATGGCGGTGTGTTGTCGGATGCAACAGAGGCCGACCACAGTATCCCTTTGGCAGGTGAGCAGTCAAAGGTGGTGGGTGGCCCCAAAGGGTCCGAGGGTCTGGTGCTGCCTGCGGGGGATAGGGCTACTGGAACACTCTGGAGAAGCATCGCCGCCCGGTTCCACTATGTGGAGCTTGGTGGCTAAAAGGGGGCAACATCAGCTAAAGAACCCGGCTGGCGTTAGGCCTGCTCCTCGTGTAGGCATAACCCTAGCAGGTCAGAGGAAAGCTGGCAACTCTGTTGTGGGTACCGGAGGAGCTGGAACTATTAAGACGATTAAGACCAAGATGGTCAGTGTCTTTGCAACAAAATTCTCACCACACTTGGAAGCCGAAGTTTTACGTACTTATTTGAAAGAAAAACTTGGGCATGACGTCATGTGTCATAAAATTGTTTCGGGAAACACTAGGTTTGCTTCTTTTAAAGTGTCTGCTGAATGCAATGAAGTGGATGACATGTATAATCCAGAGCTATGGCCCGAGGGTACATTTGTGAGGCGATATTTTGAACCACGTAAATTTGTTGGTGGTGCTCATGCTGCTCACTCTACCCGAGCAAGGCCCTCTCCTGGAGCAGATACTAGCTCTAACTAATTTTTATGGATCTTAAAGTAATCTCATATAACTGCCGTGGCCTCCGTTTAGGTCATAATGTGGAGGATAAAGTTCGTCACACTGTGGTTAAAGAACTGCTGGAACAATGTGACATTCTATGTTTATAAGAGACTTTTCTTGCCAAGCAGAATTTATGTAGACTCAACTCCTTGGACGATAACTTCCTTGGCGCTGGAGAGTCTACTACTGACTTTGGGCTCAGTATTAAGCATGGCTGGTGGTGTGGCTATCTTGTGGTCTAAGAGGTTGGACCCAGTGGTTAGTGTGGTTAGGCTTGATGAGGACTGGTGTACTGCAATACGCCTGACTCTGGATAACAAGGAGCTTGTGTTTTTAAACGTCTATGCTCCTTATGAATGTAGCCAAAATGAAGAGAAGTACTTGAACAAGCTTGTTTTTATTACTTCTTTTATACATAGCAACGGGTATACCAGCATATATATTGTGGGTGATATGAACGCAAATATATCAGATAAGGATTTTTTGCAAAGCATATGTTGCACTTTTGTGCCCATAATAATTTGATTTTGTCTAGCAGTGAGTTCCTGCCTAGTCAGAGCTTTACATACAGTATATTAGTGAGGCCTGGCATACATCATGGCTCGACCATTGCATTTCTATAGCTGATGCACATGCCACTTTGGCAGATATAGACATTCTTTACAACATGTCCATTTCTGATCATATTCCCGTAAAGATGACCCTGAGACTTGATTTTATACCTATTTTAACTCGGTCTAATCACAAACATGTAGGTTTGGACTGGTCCTCTCTTTCTCCTGAGGGTCTTGCCAGTTATCGTAATGTCACTGATAAGCGGTTACTCTATCACGTTACCTAGAGAGGCGGTTATGTGTAATGATCCTAATTGTATAGATGCTAACCACAAGACAGATATCTCTTCCATGTATCTTAATATTATCCGGGTGCTGTTGGACGCGAGTGTGCCGTATCACAAAGATAAAGGGAAGCGTAAAACTATGCCTGGCTGGAGCACCTATGTGGCTGAATTTAAGGCTGAAGCTCAGGATGCTACACCTTCCTGGGCTCTTGCCGGTAAACCCAGATCTGGGCCAATATTTGAGCTTAAAAAGCATGCCACTGCGAAATATAAATATGCAATACGGTTTACTGTGAAAAATGAACAAAAGATGAGGTCGGACTCTATGGCGAAAAAACTCATAACGAACAATATGAAATCATTTTGGAAGGACGTCAAGTACATTAACAACAGTAGATCCTCCGTACCTCATACTATTGATGGAGTCTCTGATCCTGATAAGATAGCTGAGTTTTGGCGGCGTCATTACTGCGAGTTATTTAACTGTATTCCGAGAGAATTTTTTCCGGTGAGTGGGGTTGACTTTGTTGAATCTTTTAAAACCAATGAAGTTTTCAAAGCAATAAGTGATCTGTTTGAAAATAAGGCTACTGGGCTGGACCACATCTCTGTTGAACATCTTAAGTTCAGGTTGTCTCCTCTTCTAGCCATTTGCTTCACTGCCTCTGCTATGCACGGGCTTCTACCTGACTCTTTGATGTCAGTACTGTTGGTTCCTATGGTGAAGGATAAAGTTTGTGTGCTCAGTGTTTGGGGAACGCCACGATGTCAAGTATAATGCTGTCAAAAGTGTCATTTTGATATGCGGTACAAACGAGGACAGGTCCCTTGTATTTCCTTCTTTTAACTTGTATGATAATATTTTAACTGTGTGCAATTTGTATTTGGGTCTTGTCATTAATGACTGTTTGTCTGATGACGAGGATATATATCGGCAGTGCCGCATGTTGTACGTACAAGCTAATATACTGGCATGGAAATTTGGTGCATGCTTGGTGGGAGTAAAATTGGCTTTGTTTAAAGCTTATTGTACTTCCTTGTACACTGCCCATATGTGGTGTAATTATAAAAAGGGCAGTCTTCAGAAACTGTCGGTGGCTTATAATGACGCCCTAAGGATATTATTGAAAAGGCCTAGATGGACTAGTGCTAGCGAATTGTTCGTGTCATCGCGAATTAGTACATTTTCTGCTGTTTTAAGAAACCTGATGTTTAAATTTATTTGTCGCTTGAATAGTTCAAAAAATCATATTTTATTGTTGACATGCGTTTTACTTCTGCTCTCTGGAAACACTGGTATGCCTGCCTTTTAAAGGGACAGTAGTTTTATGGGTGTTCTTTTGTTCTCGTTTTTATGCATTTTTCAGTTTTTATTGTTTCGTTTTAAACTGTTCTTTTATTGTTTTTATTTGTTTCTGAACGTGGACCTTGAGTCTGTAATAAAGTGTCATTCATTCATTAAGTGGTGACACTGGCCACATCTGTATAGACTCGCTCAAATATCAGAATTGCCTAATGCCTGGTATCTTTTCTCTGTGGGGACCCATTATAGTGTTTGTGTGTGTCATCAGATTGTGGATGAACTGCGAGAGCAGATCCTCAAACTTCGCTTCCCTCATCGTGTTCAGAACAAGGAAGCAACCCCCAAAACCAAGAGGAAGGTTGTTGGACATGCATCTCCATCCAAATCCCCCTCCATCCCTGCTCCCAAACCTGCCCTGTCAGACAGGCCCTGTGTAGTGGTGCTCAATAAGCCTCTGGAGAAGCTGCTCATCAGGTCAGTGCATATGATAGCAGGTCATCATTAAAGAACCAGCCAGCACAGTAAGCCTGACACTGTTCTCTTTACATTTGACACATTCCCAAAGTTTGCCCTCTCTCTCTCTCTTATTTGTTAGAATTCCTAAATTAGAAGTATTGGTTACTACTGGCTGGGACTTCATACGAGTCCAACTGTGATGACACCAAAAAGCTGCATCCGTGTGTTCTCTGTGTGAAAGGAATCTGTCGTCATCACTGCACTGATACACAGTGTTGTACATTGTAATCGCAGGTATGAGAAGCTGCCATTGGACTTCAGGACTCCCTTCATTTTCAACATGGAGAACTTTCTGCAGCCCTCCAACAGTGCCGTGACCATGGCAGCCAACCGGACAGCCTCCTCTACCCTGGCCTCTCTGTCCCGATACTTCCTGCACCAGCGCTGGGTGTGGGCCGTGCAGAGCAGCCAAGGGGCAGCTGTAGCCATGCAGGCTGTTGCTCACATCCTGTCCATGCTTTCTGAGTGAGTTCACACACAGTTTTGCCTTATTTGGTTGTGTTTGTATTCAAGTAGTACTTATCAGTGTAAGGAAAGGCCTTCCTTGCTTTTTGTTGCAAGTTCTTAATCTTTCTAAAGAATAATTAAATTAATCAGTCTGCTTAAAATGATTAAATAGGAAAAATTCTCCAGTAGCTTTGTGTACAGCTTTGTAACTGTGGACAGTCAAGGCCTTTATTTGAAAGATTGATAGCAAGGGCGGGCCTTTATTTCTAAATTTCCTTTGTTTAATGAATATGTTTGATCTTATTTCACTAAGAAGCCTTCCTGTTTTTCATTTTTTAAATTAGCAGCTGATACAAAGTCAACTCTCCCTCCATGTTGACTTGTCTTGATAAGTTCAATATAATGTACAGTGTACAGTAGAATATACAGCAGTATGTCTGTGTGAGCCATACTCGCCTCTCTGCTGCTCACTGTTTGTCAGAAATCTGAATGAGAAGCAGAAAAATGTTAGTCTTTTGCAAAACAAGGGAAATTTGTTTTTGTCTGTGGTTCATACAGGTACTCAAATACTGCTTCCATACACTACTTAATAATAATAACAATAATAATAATAATAATAATAGCTTGCTTGTTTCATTTTCAATATGGGAAAATTCATTGGCTGTCAAGTACACAGACTGTCAGCCATCCTAATAAGCATCATGCCTCCAGCCTCACACCAGCAGCTGTGTACTCTAAATGGAACACAGAAGCGACAGTGTCCCGAATTTTTAAGTTCAGTGTAAAAGGGGCTTAAATAAATAAAAATTTAAAAAAGCTGCCATGAGGAAGGGTCAAAACACCAGCGGCTTGCCATGATCTCTGTGTAAAAGGGGCTATGCTAAACACAGATTGTTAGTGTATGGTACGTTGCAGCAGACTGATATAAACATAATAAACAGTTAAACGGTAAATTCTTAGCAGAACAATTCAAAAAAGCAGAATCTGTGTGGTGACCAACATGACCTGAGGTTACTTCTTTCATTGCACAGTAAAGGCTGTTCTAATTCTCCTGTGACATAGCAGCTGGGTTGGTTTGGTGTGAAATAAGCATCTTTTTGGAACGTGTTGCCTGAAAACCTCTCTCGATGTCTGTGATCTAAAGCATACGCTTATCAGAAGGCTTTCACTTTGCTGCCAGCGGAGAGGGCATTGTAAACATGGTGATCGAGCTACCAGTGAAGGTAAATGCGGGCTGATTTGTCAGTACTGTAATGTTACTGTACATGTGTGTGCAGAATTATTAGTGGTCCTAATTAGTTTCTACTGAATTTCATTGCTGGCCTCAGGGCATGTCGGGAGACGTGGACAGAGAGAGTCACTCTTGTATCGTCCAGTACATCCTCTTTCCACCTCACGCTACCTCTACTAAGGACAGGTAAAACTTTATCATCTGTATAGAACACCTTGTTTTGAAGACTGATCAGATTGACAGCTTAAAAAAATGCAGCCTCCTCAGTCATTTGAATGGGGTGTTGCTGCTAATTGACTAGGAAACATTTCAACATGCAGGTTTGGTCGAGCTGTGGTACATAAGCTAGCCTTGTTGTCTTTTCATGGGACTCCAGCTTCTCCACTGATGATGACAATGACACCGAGGTGGAGGCTGTAGAAGTGGACACAGAGCTGAACCTTGTGACAGAGTGCTGGGTAGAACCGCAGAGTGGCACAGTGATGAACTGCATGGACCAGCATCGCCACTTTCAGGGTCTCAAGTACCAAGACATCCCTCAAGCAGTACGTGTAACTAGTTTATACACAAACTAGTCCCTGAGTAGCACACTCGGATAGAACTGAGGGTGATGGTGTGAATCTGCAAAGAGGAATGTCACAAATGTATGTAAGGTTATTTGCATTTAAGAAGCATTAAGTTGTATTTAATAGTGGCCTGCTCTGTTGTTATAGATCTTCCCAAGGGATCTGGCCTGTATGTCCACCATGATGACCTTTGAGTATTTGAGCCAACTCTGTCAGAATAAGGACCAGGTCTGCTCACTGCCAGCTCCTCCTAAGGATGTGAGAGGTAATACAACACTCAACTGTTTAGAAAATTACATTTCATTCATTGATCCCTTGGCACTTGGCATACTGGGCATTCCCAAATGGTTCTAGAGGAAGTGTTCATCACAGTTGTCTGTGTGTACAAGATGGTTCACATTGTTACCTTTACCCAGGGGAGTCCATTGGTGGTTGAAACGATGTCAAGCCCAGGCTTTTAATGTGAAAAATCACCAAGAATTGTTAAGTTTTGTTTACAGAAGCTTAACTGTGAAAAAACTGCTCAGCCATTAGTGAATGAAAAAGTAAGGTATTTCTCTCATGCACTTCATGAAACGGTGAACTCCAGGCTGTGGACGAAGCATGCCTGTGGAACAGACGGGCATGGCTAACAGGATCGAATAAAAACCAGGTCACTAAAAAAAGGCCAGGTGAAAAACACTGAGGATTATTTTAACATAATGCACATTTCCATGGCACTGCTCTTGCTCTTCTGAACCAGTCACTTCTACTTTCTCCCTCTTATTTGTTAGAATTCCTAAATTAGAAGTATTGGTTACTACTGGCTGGGACTTCATACGAGTCCAACTGTGATGACACCAAAAAGCTGCATCCGTGTGTTCTCTGTGTGAAAGGAATCTGTCGTCATCACTGCACTGATACACAGTGTTGTACATTGTAATCGCAGGTATGAGAAGCTGCCATTGGACTTCAGGACTCCCTTCATTTTCAACATGGAGAACTTTCTGCAGCCCTCCAACAGTGCCGTGACCATGGCAGCCAACCGGACAGCCTCCTCTACCCTGGCCTCTCTGTCCCGATACTTCCTGCACCAGCGCTGGGTGTGGGCCGTGCAGAGCAGCCAAGGGGCAGCTGTAGCCATGCAGGCTGTTGCTCACATCCTGTCCATGCTTTCTGAGTGAGTTCACACACAGTTTTGCCTTATTTGGTTGTGTTTGTATTCAAGTAGTACTTATCAGTGTAAGGAAAGGCCTTCCTTGCTTTTTGTTGCAAGTTCTTAATCTTTCTAAAGAATAATTAAATTAATCAGTCTGCTTAAAATGATTAAATAGGAAAAATTCTCCAGTAGCTTTGTGTACAGCTTTGTAACTGTGGACAGTCAAGGCCTTTATTTGAAAGATTGATAGCAAGGGCGGGCCTTTATTTCTAAATTTCCTTTGTTTAATGAATATGTTTGATCTTATTTCACTAAGAAGCCTTCCTGTTTTTCATTTTTTAAATTAGCAGCTGATACAAAGTCAACTCTCCCTCCATGTTGACTTGTCTTGATAAGTTCAATATAATGTACAGTGTACAGTAGAATATACAGCAGTATGTCTGTGTGAGCCATACTCGCCTCTCTGCTGCTCACTGTTTGTCAGAAATCTGAATGAGAAGCAGAAAAATGTTAGTCTTTTGCAAAACAAGGGAAATTTGTTTTTGTCTGTGGTTCATACAGGTACTCAAATACTGCTTCCATACACTACTTAATAATAATAACAATAATAATAATAATAATAATAGCTTGCTTGTTTCATTTTCAATATGGGAAAATTCATTGGCTGTCAAGTACACAGACTGTCAGCCATCCTAATAAGCATCATGCCTCCAGCCTCACACCAGCAGCTGTGTACTCTAAATGGAACACAGAAGCGACAGTGTCCCGAATTTTTAAGTTCAGTGTAAAAGGGGCTTAAATAAATAAAAATTTAAAAAAGCTGCCATGAGGAAGGGTCAAAACACCAGCGGCTTGCCATGATCTCTGTGTAAAAGGGGCTATGCTAAACACAGATTGTTAGTGTATGGTACGTTGCAGCAGACTGATATAAACATAATAAACAGTTAAACGGTAAATTCTTAGCAGAACAATTCAAGAAAGCAGAATCTGTGTGGTGACCAACATGACCTGAGGTTACTTCTTTCATTGCACAGTAAAGGCTGTTCTAATTCTCCTGTGACATAGCAGCTGGGTTGGTTTGGTGTGAAATAAGCATCTTTTTGGAACGTGTTGCCTGAAAACCTCTCTCGATGTCTGTGATCTAAAGCATACGCTTATCAGAAGGCTTTCACTTTGCTGCCAGCGGAGAGGGCATTGTAAACATGGTGATCGAGCTACCAGTGAAGGTAAATGCGGGCTGATTTGTCAGTACTGTAATGTTACTGTACATGTGTGTGCAGAATTATTAGTGGTCCTAATTAGTTTCTACTGAATTTCATTGCTGGCCTCAGGGCATGTCGGGAGACGTGGACAGAGAGAGTCACTCTTGTATCGTCCAGTACATCCTCTTTCCACCTCACGCTACCTCTACTAAGGACAGGTAAAACTTTATCATCTGTATAGAACACCTTGTTTTGAAGACTGATCAGATTGACAGCTTAAAAAAATGCAGCCTCCTCAGTCATTTGAATGGGGTGTTGCTGCTAATTGACTAGGAAACATTTCAACATGCAGGTTTGGTCGAGCTGTGGTACATAAGCTAGCCTTGTTGTCTTTTCATGGGACTCCAGCTTCTCCACTGATGATGACAATGACACCGAGGTGGAGGCTGTAGAAGTGGACACAGAGCTGAACCTTGTGACAGAGTGCTGGGTAGAACCGCAGAGTGGCACAGTGATGAACTGCATGGACCAGCATCGCCACTTTCAGGGTCTCAAGTACCAAGACATCCCTCAAGCAGTACGTGTAACTAGTTTATACACAAACTAGTCCCTGAGTAGCACACTCGGATAGAACTGAGGGTGATGGTGTGAATCTGCAAAGAGGAATGTCACAAATGTATGTAAGGTTATTTGCATTTAAGAAGCATTAAGTTGTATTTAATAGTGGCCTGCTCTGTTGTTATAGATCTTCCCAAGGGATCTGGCCTGTATGTCCACCATGATGACCTTTGAGTATTTGAGCCAACTCTGTCAGAATAAGGACCAGGTCTGCTCACTGCCAGCTCCTCCTAAGGATGTGAGAGGTAATACAACACTCAACTGTTTAGAAAATTACATTTCATTCATTGATCCCTTGGCACTTGGCATACTGGGCATTCCCAAATGGTTCTAGAGGAAGTGTTCATCACAGTTGTCTGTGTGTACAAGATGGTTCACATTGTTACCTTTACCCAGGGGAGTCCATTGGTGGTTGAAACGATGTCAAGCCCAGGCTTTTAATGTGAAAAATCACCAAGAATTGTTAAGTTTTGTTTACAGAAGCTTAACTGTGAAAAAACTGCTCAGCCATTAGTGAATGAAAAAGTAAGGTATTTCTCTCATGCACTTCATGAAACGGTGAACTCCAGGCTGTGGACGAAGCATGCCTGTGGAACAGACGGGCATGGCTAACAGGATCGAATAAAAACCAGGTCACTAAAAAAAGGCCAGGTGAAAAACACTGAGGATTATTTTAACATAATGCACATTTCCATGGCACTGCTCTTGCTCTTCTGAACCAGTCACTTCTACTTTTCTGTTCTTGTTCTGGGCTACCTGGAGGGTTTTATTGTGAAACATCTGTTAAGGAATTGTTGTGTTTTTTGCCTGTGGAAGATGGAAGTGATTGGACATAACCAGTCATTTATTACATTTATGACAATGTACTCCAGAGAGTACATCATGTGTGTGTTGTATGTTTACTAATATGTGTCCTCTGCTGCAGCTGGTTCTGTTCAGGATGTGCTTTCTGTGTAATGTGAACTCTGTGCATCGCTTTATTCAAAGTGATGGCTGGGTTTCCTCTGTGTGTGCAGGAGAAGCTCTGGCCTCTGAGGGCAACATTCACATGATTCCTTTCCAGTTTGACCTCATTCAGCTGCTGCCCAAATGCCAGCAGGTTGAACTCTTCTTCCTCACATTAAGTACAGGTACTGCACTCATACAGTTCATCTGCACAGTTTGCTTCAACTGTGAGAACAATACACAGCCATCGTTAAATAAATCATTTTTGTAGCAATTTACAAAGAAATAATAAAAAAAAAAACCTGAAGAAAGCTTGAAATATCAGGGAATACTTTACCAGGTGCTTTTTTAAAAACCAGAGTGAGTGTTCCTTGTTGTTATGTGTCTTTTCCCCTATTTGTCCTCAGTGGTGGAGAATGAGGAGCAGATTGACAGCTCCTCCTGTCTGCCCAACGAGCTCCTGCTCAGCCTCTTCCACAGCAGCCTGGAGCACGAGCTCAGTGACAGAGAGATCCCTTTAGCTGACAGCGACCACGTGGCCTTCATGCAGCACATACTGGAGCGCGAACGAGATGGCCATGTTGCTCCTTTCTCCTTACCTGTTATTAAAGGTCAGTACATGTCTGTGCATCTCAGCTTAGCTGTTCTTCTAGTCAGTGTATGAAACTCGGTGAAAGGCTTGCTTTTACATTAACAGACCTACAGGACTTTTAGGTAGCACCATTCATCTCATATCATAAGAAAGATGCTCCCTGGGTAAATCCCTCCTCCCTTAACTCATCAATGCAGATGCACTCAAGGAAGTGGGATACCCCCTGCCGAGTCAGTCTCTTCTGATCTATCATGGTTTCTGTCTCTTATATTTTTTGTTTTGTCAGAAGAGTGTGTGAAGCCTCCAGAACGACAAGACACTATGACATCATTTCACACCACTGGCAGCAGCAAAGAGGTGACGGGATCCACCAGCACTTTACAGGTGTCTGTCCTTAATCAAAACTTAATATTCACTGAAGTATTAAAGAGGTGATATAATGGAAAACAAAAAACACAAGCTTTGAGATGGATTAGGGTGAAGGCAGAGGTCCTCCTGCTGTCAAATAACTAAACTTTGTCGCTGCTGTGTTTTTGCATTATTTAAAATTTTGATTCTCCTGCATCAAGAACAAGATGTTTTGAAACCCTACTGGTGACATCACAGACCATGAAATGAGATATGTGAATGTAACCCACTTCAGGGTATGTACATGCTCTAGGTTCATAGAAGCTTGAAGATGGAGCAATAACCAACATACGCTGTACTTTAGCACAATGAATTTTTAGTGAAAATTATTTGAACAATAGTATGCAATATAAGAATAAATAAAATTAAATGGGCCCCCTTTTTAACAAAAATAAATAGTCCTTTAAATGGATGGAGTTTTATAAAGTTCAGGTTCCCCTTTTTTTGGGAATGCTACTTGGGGCTCCTCAATGTTCAAGTCAGTCCCAAGCTCAGTAAGTCAAATAGTCAAAAGTCAATATCTCTGGATCCAAGTTGAGTTGGTATCAGTAGGAATGACTGACGCAATCCTACCACATACACAGATAGATGATCTGTCGCTTTGATGATTGGATACCATGGAATCACACTGGGTGGCTCGCCATCACAAGGTTCAATCGTCCCTCTCGACGGCTGCTGATGATCTTCCATACTCCATTCCCGCCAGCGAAATCAAAAAATACTTGCCCTGTATTTACAACTGGGCTTTTTTTTTTTCTTAAGTCAAGTCATGTCGTATTCATCATTCATTTAGTTCAAAATATTGTAAACATTTTATACATTCACCATGTATGAACTTATCTTCTTTAAATAATCAATTCCAATATTGTGCGTCCACAATCAATAACTATATATTGTGAAAATATACAGGTAGTTTTAACAGTGAAGGATCCCTTTAATTTGTGCTCTTGTTTTTTTTTTAGCACTGCATAGTATATTACCATGAATTATACACTTCTGCCATCGACTAACACATACACGAACACATATCACACATGAATTAACAACATAAACCATACTCTTACTCTCGACCTGCTACTAGCTAACGCTAGCATATCATTAGCATAGCATGCTAACATTCGTTGGCACTATGAAATAGCTTACCAAGGGTTCTGTTTTTCAACACCTAAAGCTTTACTCCTTCAGGTTGTCTGACGTTAAGCTCGAGCTCCCTCGAACTTAAGACGAGTTTCCAGTTTTTTTTCTGTTTTAAGAAGTTCTTATGGACTTTTTCTTTCCTCTTTGTTTAGCATGCGTTTAACCGTACACCATGTTTTTCACATTACGTCTTTTACACAGTGGCACGACTTCCTCTCCTGTGATTACAAAAATAAAACTTCCGGTTTTCAAAATAAAGCGTTTGATACGTGAAACCATTAAACCTAATTATAACACACCTGTACCCTTTTATGAGGTGGGTTACATAACAATATCAAATATCCGGTGATTTTCCAAGTGTCTCAGTCAGTGACATCTAAGTCGGTTCTGAAGGAGTGGCGGCTGCCATCTCCCTACCTGAAAATTTGCAACATCTCTATGCGTTAGAAGAAACTTGTGCTCCACACGTTACTTTAAAGATAACTGAAGGGGGACAGGCAAATTAGGCCCAATGATAATGCTTGCCATCTTCATGCCCCAGACTACTCACAACCGTTTCACTTAGATGTTGATGAAAAGAACGGATATGTGAATGCCGTTCTGTTTCAAAAGGGGGAAGGTGGGAGCACAGACAGAAAGGTTCTGATGTACTACAGCTCCAGACTTGACAATGTAGAAATGGGACATCCTACATGTGTCAGACATTCGGCTGCAATTGGAAAGGCAATAATGAAAACTTCACACATAACCATGAGCAACCAAACCATTGTACATACCACTCACGGAGTCAAAGCTTTTCTGGACTCACAAGCGTTCACGTTGTCAGCCCATGGAGTTAACGGCCTCCAACAGCTTCTGAACAAACCCCATGTCCATTTTTCTAGCTCTGACGCCAATATGGCCTCCCAAATGGAGACTGCACAGGACCATGATGGTGCAGCTCAAACACAAAAGGAGATGCAGCTGCATCCCTCCTTAAGTAAATAGCCCCTCCCAGAGGCACAAATGACCTTCTATTGTGATGGACACAGCCATCACTTACCAACAAGCAGCCTCATAGCGTCTTATGCGGTGATAGAAGAAACACCCGCTGGCTTAGAAACCAGAGCAGCCCAAATCTTACCACAGCCTGCCTCCGCACAATTGGCAG